TAAGCGCACCTATCAAGGCAACAGTTTTTGAAGCATTTGTTTGTTTTTGTTTTAATTAATATTTGTTGTCGCGTCGAAGAATTTTCAATTTGACTACTCAACTAGTACGTACAATATATATGCACACACACACATGTATGTATATATATATATGTATATATATATATATGTATATATATTGTTGTATATGGTTATATAGTTAACTCATTTGTGCTCATTTCATTTATCGCTTGGATTTTGTAGTTGTCGTTGATGAAACTAAAAGCATATCAGAATATAATATATATAGAAATCAACATAACATATTTGTGCTCTGGAAATGCCGAAATGCCCTTCAGTACGGTTTGATAGGCTACATTAATACAATTGCGACAGGTGGAAAACAATTTTTTGCATCGTACATATAGACACACAATACATATATTGTTTGAATGAATCTTTTGATTTTATTTTCTGTTCACTATTTTGGATTTTATCTTATCACATTTACTCTATATATTTATATGCATATCTGCTCTCATTATATGCTCAATTTAGTCAAGAGTTCAAATTGTCGAGCGATTGCTTACAATATCGAGCAGCTATATCTTTGAAATAGTTTTCATGAAACGTGTTTGCAAATTCAATTTTACATTTAAATTCCACGATTTTCAGCATATAAGCTCTATAGTACAGTATACAGATACATATATACATATAGCTCTTAGTTGAATCAATCCGCAAAGGTACACAAACCTCGGCCAGCCGAGTTCAATATAGATTCTTTGATTTCGTTTGCAACACTTAAGTGCGCTCTCTCAGGTACCTGTTAAAGTTAGCAGCCGGCTTGACATGCTGTCAAACTCGATGACTTTCTCCGAAATACTTGAAAGTTGTAACAGGCCGTATAGTTAACATGACGTTTAAACTACATTGCAAACTACATTGTAAAAGCAGGCTGTCAAATGACATATACATGCATTTTTAAAAAGTATCTGCTGCTGAACTCAGGTAGCAGGTATTGTCAGTTTAAACCTTTGGCGTTGCCATATTTGCACACAATTTGAACATTTCATTGCCAGCCACTTTGGCCACTAACATGAACTTTAACAGGCGCCCGAGAAAGCGAACCTTTAACATAGTACGCACACACACACACACATATATATATATATAGCATGTTGATCGATAGATTGGCATTACAAGCTTATCGATTATAGTTTCTTCTGTATTAGAATGCAACATTTACAGGTTTTTTTTTTTATTATGTTTTTTTTTTTTTGTTTTCTTGTGGGTTCTCTTTTGCTTTAAAAGTAAGCAACATATTTTTTTTTATTTGGTTTTGTTTGTCGAGTTCCATTTTTCAATTTTTAGTTGTTTTCATTTTTTGACTTTTTGTTTTCGGTTTTAGTAATGTCTTTAAAAGTAAGCAATTAAATAACTAAACAAATGTCTGGCCGGGCCGACTGCATGTTGGTTTATGTTTTGTCTTGTCGGTCTCAATTGTTAGAAGCCCGTGAAAGTGCAAACATTGTTGGATTGTTCAGCTGCCCAGCTAGCTCGAAGCGGGCTAACAATGGAAAATTAGTTGTTGGTTTTGTTGTTAAAAATGTATAAACAATAAGCAAGATACGTGCTGGGCATGCCACAAAAATAAAGAAAAAAAATTAACAGATATATATATATATAGGCATTTCTATACATAAGCTTTAACAAATTTGCACTAATTTTTGCCGTTTATTGTGGCGATGGGCGTAGCCAGGGGCGTGGCCGTTAGGGGCACGTTCGCTTGCAATTGATTGCCAAGGGCAGCAGCTGGCAGCTTCCGTCGCTTGGGCAGAAACACCTGCAAAAGGCAAACACATGAAAATAAATGAAACAGAGCTCACATCTCTATCTCCATCTAAAGAGAGCGCTAGAGAGAGAGAGAGAGAGAGAGAGAGAGCGCGCGAGAGGGAGAGAGTATATTACCTTAAGCGCACCCATGACCATCAAATAGAACCAGTAGAGCTGCGGCAAGAACAATATGGCAATGCTGACGAGGCAGCCACGCGGCAATCCGCACATGGCCGCCCACATGGAGGCGGCATCAATGGCCAGGCTATAGCGCCACATTACATAGGGCCACATGCAGACGCGGCAGACAAAGAACGTGGCCAACATGAGCAGTCCATTGAGTATATAGACACGAGAATCCTTCAGGCCCATGGTGCTCAGTATGCTGCGCAGCGAGACAAATGGCGTGGAGAACTCCATCATGAACATATAGCTATAGATGCAATGGCCACCGCCGCGTATATACTGCAAGAGAAATGCCCAATTAGACTGGGAATTAAGAGTTCGTCTAACACTTACTGTCACCACGAGCAGTCCGAAGGTGCCAATGAATACGTGATGTATCATCATAACCGGATGTGTTAGCACATACTTTAGGAAATCCCAGCGTCCGTCTTTGGGTATCTGGACACAGGCGCCATCATAGTCGCATATCTCATGGGGTGTGCCCGGCGTGCTGCCATTGTTGTTACCAATTGATCTGTCGCCGCCGGCCGCCTTGTCGTAATAGCTTCTGGCATGTCCATTGGTAAACGGCTGAGAGTTGGATAGACGCAGCAAGTGCAGCTTGTCGGCAATCTTCTGGGTGTGCACCTTGTACATGGACCAAATGTCATACATAAAGTAGGCGGTGCCAAACCAACCGTATGCCTCCATTAGAAAGTGCGAGGCATACACAAACGACTTGCTGCACGTCGACTTGCAGACGATCAGGCCCACCAGGAAGGAGAACGATGCCTGTATGGCCGAGACGATTCTGTAAAGGGAAAAACAAAGACAAATTTGAGATCAGTTTGGTGTGTGTTAACAGGTGTAAGGAACAGGTGAGTGTGCTCGACCAGTAGACATCCAATCAAAATATTTTGAGCACTTAAACATGTCAAACATGATAAAGCCGTTGACCTTAACAGAGCACTGTTAACTTGATTTAAATACTGCATTCTAGTGGAACGTGTTCTATACACTTAACAGAGCACTGTAAGCAATCGGTTAGCTCTGCCAGAAACAGAACATAGAGTGGGGATATTTTAGGGAAATTTAGGGAAATTGTATGAAGCACATTTCCCAAGCCAAAGATATTATAAATAATGATATATACATCAATAAAGTGGACTGCAATTACTTAATGCGAGAAGCCCAATTGTTTTCGTATACCTCTACTGTACCCATTGAAAATGGATGAGAATGTTTAATAATAGTTTGTTGCAAATTTAATTATTTGGTAGAAGGAATCGGGATATTGATGATCCAAACGTGAGCGTCAGATTCTTCAATATCGAAAGCAATGAGAGCTGGCGACTTGAAATTCGAAAAAATAAACATATGTATTCTGATATATAAGACACATGAGTGTAGAAATTTATTAATAATCTTTAGGCATAAATTTGAGATACGACTAAGAAGAATTTATATGTTTGTTTAACTCAATTTGACGCCTCACTAGGATTGATTTTTATTAAGGCCCCGAAAATGTTATAAGGCGAGGACAAGAAACAACAAAGTTATTCAAGACGGCATTTTTTATGTGCATTTTTCCGGGCTTTAGGGCAACTTTAAGAGCTATTCAAGGCCCACAAATTTCCCACAAACAAACAAAAAGCAAACCAAAAGTTAAAAAAAACTAGAATTAGACACACATCAAGCATTGCGTTCAGTTTTAGTAGATAGCACAGTTGGCCCTAAGACATAATATGATCTAACTGTGTGAGAGTTGGTTCCGATATATTCCAATCTAGCCATGATCAGCACTTGCGGCCGTAGAAGAGTACGGGTAGACAGTTCTGGCGCAGCTGTTGCTCTCGCAGGCCCGTATGGGTGGGTGCAATAACCACCGGTTCCTCGGGCAGGCGGCGCAAATAGCAGCTGCGTCTCGGATGATAATTATCCTCCATTGGAACAATGTTGCCAAGCCTCACATCCTGACTGCAAGGGTATCGCATGCGACCGCAGGGCAGGCAATCCGTTATGGTTGCTCGGCATGGCATCCGGCTGGTCGGGTAGCCTTTTGAGACGCATCTGTTGGCGGCACGCCTCTTCTGCAATTGATCGAGGACCGTGGCCAGCATGAGGGGCACATCGGTGGTGGTGCTGCCGCCCCTCTCTCGTGTCTCATTCGACTCGATGTTGCGTGTGGGCGTTAAGTGCGTTTTGAATTCCAAGTCGGAAACTATCGATACCCCCGGCGGCATAATACGATCATTGATGCGCCTCTTTGTGTTTGGAAAATCGCTGCGCTTTGATAACAGCTGCGAGTTCATGGGCAAACGGCTCTCCACCAATTCCTGCTCGGCCGCTGTCGTCGCATGCACCGTCAGCCGATCATGGTTTGAACTACTATTGTGCGTGTATCTGGTCAGATTCGGGCTGAATTCGTTGAGGGTCGCTGTGGTGGGAATCGCAAAGATCGACGGCAGATTCTCCTTCTCAGATCGTGTTGCCATTTTTGATATATGTGGCAGCTCCTGTTGGCAAAAGTTGAAGCAATGCGGTTGTCCACGATCCAAATCGCATTTGTCCACCATGTGGCGAGGGACAATCATGGGCCGTCTGCTGCAGGAGGGCACAATGTAGGGGGCAGGCGGCGGCTCCTTGGGTGGGTAAACAGTATCGGGTTTCGTATTGTGTTTGGCACCCATCGTATCCATGGATGAGTCTGAGAGCCGTTGTGCCACAAAATTGACCCGCCGGCCATCGGTCGCCTGCTTGAGTACCTTGCTCAATGGCTTTGTTGAGGTTTTCAGTATGGAATTCGGTTTTGTGACCTGCTTGTAGTTGGCTCTCTTGATTGTGGTAATCGGCGGCGCGATGGCGTAGCTAATAAGCGAACTCCGCGAACGGAATCTGTTCGCAGCCGGATAACCAAGGGATTCGCTAAGTGCCGCCAAACGTGCACTCGTTCCATAACTGTTGCGCTCGTTTGTCATTGGAGACAGTTGCTGCGTTTTGTAGGAGCTCTCGTAAATGCTGTCCTTAGAGGCCGGCCTGGCGGTTCTAGCTCTGCCATATTCCTGTTTAATAGTTGTTTTGCCGCCTCTATAGTCGGAGGATTCACTGTTTGTGGCTATGGTCTGCCTCACGACCTGTGCGCGTCTTTGGTAGCGCTCCACTGGCAGGAGTTCACGTTTCTTAGCAAATTTTGACACATTTGCCGATTGCTGTTGCCTCGGCTCCACATCGCTGGAGGTCTCCGGCTCGGATTTCTGCCAGCTCAAATCCGTTTCCGTTTCCGAGCGCTGCGATTGCGTGCCGGACTCACCGCTCAGGCAGCACGATGAGCTGCAGGGCGTCGCATAAACCTTAAAGTTCCTCTTTCGCCCAGATGTGTGTATGTAAGTGCGTACGCTTGGAAGCACCGCACTGCGGCCGATGAGCTTGCTAGTGGTGGGATTCTTTGGGTTGACCGTCGGCTGCATTTGCTTTGATTTGCTTGGAACTTTCTGGCAATTCCTATCGTCCGGGAACTGAACATCGCAGCCGGATCGCGAACGGCAGCTGGTGACGTTTCGACCATGCGGCGATGGCTGTGTATCTATATCCGTATTATCGTCATCGTTGTCGCTGTCGTATCCCAGATTGCTGCCGTCCATTGGGGGCTCCGGTGCATGCAGCTGCTGTGTTGAGCTGACGTAGCTGGGAATTGGCCGGTTCGGCTGATAGAACGTGGACACCATATTGGCCACCTTTGGATCGTTGTTCATCATCTTGTTAATTTGTTCCCATTGCTGCCCATCCGCGAACTGCACCTGATCCAGACGCATCAGCCGTGTCACCGGACGTGGCGGCGGTCGACGTGTGCGCAGCGAACACTGCGCCTTTGAATGCGGCGTTTTGATCTTGAGCTTCGGCAATTTGATCGTTGCATCGCGCAGCTTCAATAGCTTCGCATTGATGGGCGGTTTGCTGGAAAATAACAGATTCAGGCCGGGCTTCTCCGGTTTTGGTCGCTGCGACACAATGCCCGATTCTTTTCGTATGATGGTCGACATTTGGTTTGTGTAGCGGGTAACAGTGGCTACACGCTCCTCGTTGCGCTCTACCGTATCCAGGGAGGTATCCGGATCCAGGGTCGTTATGGTGCGTTCTCCACTAACGATGCTGTCCACACTTTGTCGCCTTGATACCGCCGGCACTTCGCGTTTTCTCTCAGACTCAGCCGTGTGATAGCCACGTCCCATTTTCTGGCGGTACCCATCAGCATCCGCATCAGCATCCTCATCCGCATGCTGTTGTGTTCGATTGCCGAAACGAGTCAACTGCATCCCAATGCCGTGCGCTGTCCTCGCATTGTACTGCCCGACCAGGTGTGCTGCCCGGTGTGGATTCAGGCGGTTGCATCTATTGCCGGCATTGTCCTCAGTGCGCCGCCTGCTCTGGATTGTTGACGAGCTGGTTGGGGTACTGCTGGTGCTGCTAGATGGTGCACTTACGTATGGTTCATTATTGTTTGTTGTATGCCTTGCGTTGTTGGTATTGTCGCTTGTCGGATTGACCAGAGTTTTCCATGTCTGGGGCGCATTATGGGGGGCGGCAGTGATATAGTGATTGTGTGACTGCAGACTTTGATCCGAGGAATATTCGGAATTCTGTGACATATCCCGATCTTCCCAAGTCGATTGCTTGCTCTCGCAGGACTTAAAGGAGTCCGTACCGTCAAAGACCGTGGTGGTTCGACTGAAATCTGAAGCGCTTTCATCCGAATAAGGCGAGAACCAATCAGATTTCTGTGCAGGCAATTCGACATCATAACTGGACGTAAGCACCATCCTTTGGTTTGATCTATTGCTGTTGCTGTAGGTTGCACGAGGATAAGCCCTGCCGGTGAACCCACTGTTGGTCCCTTGGGCTGGTAGGATCCTGTTGTTGATCGTGCGCCTATTTCTTGGCCCAGGGCTCGGACTACGATTTCTAGTGCCAACTAATTGCTGCGATTTGCAGCGAGTACGTTGACTTTGCATCAGATTCGGACACTGTCTGACATTGGTTCGATTTCTATCCGCAAAGGTAACCGTACAGCGTTTATGCTGTCGCGGCTTGATCCTCTTTCGTGCCACCAAACGCATTAGCTGCGTATAATCCGACACTTTCGTATAGCTGCGCGATGCTGCATTGCTCGTCGAGGGCTTGACATCTGCCTTGGCCTCTGGACATATCGTGCCCGTGGACTCCAAATTGATAACTGTCTCCCGGCTCTCTGTTGGTTCTGTCAGCGATGTTAGCCGAGTGTCTGGTATGCTGCATATGGAACTGATCTGTTGGCAAGATATGGAATCGCCTTTCAATGCCTTCAGATTGCTGCAGATTGCAGCGCTGGGATTTATTGTCTGTGCCGTCACTTGGCTGTCCGTCGACGACGTCTCGATAGACAGGTGTAACATGGGTTTTGGCGGAGCTGCTGTAACTCCTGTTATCATAAGCTGATGTATCTGTGGTAATTGTGCTATTGCACCACTGACAACCTGCAGCTTGCCACTGCCGGCTGGCTTTGGTTTAATGCCTATATGACCGACTTGTCCTTTGGCCGGTTTCCTTTTCAAGTAGAAGCACTTTTTCTGCACAACCGATAAGCTGTTTGTTGTCTGTGACGCGTTACATTGGCTACTGCTCGAAGCATTTGTCTCCTGGCGCTGTTGCCAGTTGCCATGTTTCGGCTGGCGCGAGAAAAACGATGACCCCCTCAGGCTCTTGGATTTGTTCTTATTTAACGAACCGCTGCCGTACGATGGCGGCTGGCGACTGATTGTGCTCAGGCTGTAGAGCAGATAACGTCCTGGCTGAATTGCACGCTTGCATAGGCCCGCCACGCTGCCCAATACGCCCTTTCGTTTGTTCTTCCGTTCAGGCTCGCCCTCTTGACTGCTCGCAGAAGGAAACTGCATATTCGCTGAGCTGGTCAAAAAGAACCAGCCTTTGCGTTTGCGTGTTCGTTGCTTCGGCAGCGAGTTGGCAACACTCGACTCAACCAGCGAGCTAAGATCATTCATGCTCAAGGGTTTGGACTTGGCCATGGCTACTGAGTTCGACTCGGACTTTGCCAGTGGGCTGGTCTCAACCATGTTCACTGAGTTGGAGTCGACCGTGATCATCGATTTGGATTTAGCCATGCCCACTGTGTTGACGCGCACCACGCCCAGTGAGTTGGACTTAACGAGGCCCGTAGACTTGGCCTCTATGAGGTTTATTAGCTTGGTATCCACCAAGGTCATGGGATCAGCTACAGTACGATGATCATTATCGAGCTTGTAGCTGACCCTGGGCTGGTTTAGGTTTGGTGTGCTTAACTCCGTTGCGGATGACTGCGCCATGCCTCGTCGTCTCTTGCATGTTTCCTTTGTGCATGGAATTTCCTCTCCTGGCTCAACCTTTTCATTGTTGTCTTCTTCGTTGGGTTGCTGTTGTTGTTGCTGATCGACAGGCTCATCCGGGATGCAGGTCACTTTACAGTCGTATTTAATGCACATATCGCGCGTGCAGACGTCTGTGGCACATGGTTCATGGCAGTCGTTCCGCTGGCATTCGCCTTTGTTTGCACAGCAAGCATTGCATTCTTCTATGGCCAACACCGACGACTCACACTCAACTTCATCCTCTACGGATTCATCCTTGGGCTTGGTCTTGGGCGGCCTCTCCGGCACTTCTGTGGCCAGCGACTGATCACCCAGGCACGGCTCACATGCACATTCCGGGAGCTGCTCGCAGGGGCAAGTCGGCGCCGCTTTGGCCCAGTAGCGCAAGGGCAAGCCGTATAACGGATAGCGTTCGGTCATCCCATCCTCGTAGCTCTTGAGCAGGCTATAAAACTCTGGCGAGATGCGGCGAAAGCATGCCGGATCGAGTCGCCGCTGCGGCGCCTCGCGCAAATCATACTTTTTGCGCAGACGCAGCGGCGGCGACTCGCTCCGGCGCATCGCCGCCAGACATTCCTCGGCCATTGGCTGGCCATCCGCCTGGAAGATGCAGGCGCACGAGTTACGGCGTTGCGGACGCAAACAGTTGCACGTGCGCTCTTGATACATTTGACTAACACTTGTCTTCGGCTTTTTGCTGGCCGAGCCAGCCGAAAAGCGATTCTTTTCCGTCAATGTATCCGGCAGGCAGCCGGCCACATGCGGATTGCAGATGGTAATATTATTATTGGTCGGCTGCTTTTGTGGCTCCGGCAGCAGTTCCTGTTCGGATGGCTGCTTCTTGGTCTTTTCGGACGCCTCAGTGTCCGTATCCTTCTTCTTCACACACTTCTTTTCCTTCCTCATGCTGGGCTTTGTTATTAGCAGCGCCTTTGGCGGCCATTTGGACGGTTCCGCACACTTGCATATCGCTTCACCCTGGCGCAACTGGTGTCGCTGCCGCTGGATTAACAAACGACGCCTGCGCAGCTCCTGACAATAATCCAAATACTGAACGCTATGCTGCAACGGCTGTGGCTCATGGCAGGCGCATCTCCTGCAGTCGCACGTTAACGATATTGAGCTGGGCTCGTCCAGTTGCATCTGATACCGCAACTCCCGGCGCTCCTTAGGCGTCACCGTGTCGAGGAAGACCTTCTGCTTGCGAAACCATTCCGTAGCCAAATCCGGCACCACAAGTCTCTCCTGTTTCCGTTCATGTGCCAACAGCTGATCGACAACCTTCTGACCGCGCGGCCGACGTCGGCGTTGCGACGACACCGATCTGGCGGGGCATTTGCGGCATATGCAAACCGACGATTTGCGCCGCTCGATGCCACCGGCATTGCGCGGCGGAAAATGTTGCATCTCATTGGCCACATAACGTTCCTGGCAATCGAGTTTGCTCTCTTCATTCTCCTGCTCCCAGCACACAATGTTGTCCTTTAGGGACATTGTCATATCCATGTTGTTGCTGTTGTGATTGCTGTTGCTGTTGCTGGCCGGGCTCGTTGCAATCACCAGCTGGCTATCGCATAGTAGGGAACCCTCAACGCTGAGGGCACTCGAGTCTGGGATAGCACTCACTGCTAATTTGGAAATGCCGAAAGTATTTAAATTTGAATTTTGAAGTTAGAAATCCTTTAAAAATTGTCACTTGTTAAACATGCTCTTTTCTGTTTTACAATTAATGAGAGAGAGAGAGAGCTAGACAGGGAGAGAGCGAGAGAGAGGGAGACAGACAGCACAGAAAAAGGTCCTTCCCTCGTCTGCTGCTTCTCTCTCTATGGCCAGTCTCTCTCGAGACCTATCTTGGGTCTGGTCTAACTTGCCATTCATTGCAACTCGAAGATATGTGTAAAATGTATTTGTACTCTTTTTGTCATTAACTCTAAGACTTTCATTTGATTGACTTGTTATTTCTCTGAGCTTGAACAAGTCCTTGCCCGAAACAATGAGATTCTCTCACCCTCTCTATTCTCTTCTCTCGCTTTTTCTCTCTGCTGTCATTCAGGCAAGAAAAATTCGAGTTCGAATCCCCGCCGAGTTTATGGACATATTGCGTTCACTTGGCTAGAGCTATTAAACAATTTTCTTTGCTTGTTTATAGCTATTAATAATAATAATATTTTGTTTATCTAGCGCACAAATCTCTGCCGTGCTTTCCAATTTGTTAATGTACCTTGTATTGTAAACAAAATTGACGTAGAAAAAAATCCCCTGTACCCCCCTCTGTTTGGGCTCATTTGTGTGTTGCCTTTAAGTTTGTAAAATACAAGTGAAAGAGCAAGGAGCTGAAAAGTATTATGTCTCCTAAACTTCAGAGGCTGCTGCCATCAGAAAGTTAGAACTTAAATAGAAATAGGCATGATAAAAGTACTTCCAGATGGTGTAACTTTTGCTGTGAACTCCTACGGGAACATATGCAACAAAATGAGGTATCAGAAACTGAACCGTCAGTCGGATTGTGCAAAGAACAGTCGAAACGTAAGCCACAAGAAACTGGTATGAAATTGTCAAAATTGGGATTTACTTTGATTCAAACAGATGCCGGGTGTTGTACATGTGCGTAATCATGTGGCCTTTTCATTGGAATATATTCATCGGAAATAAAACTCGAGCTGAAAACCAGCAACAGCAAAATTATTGAAAATGTGCGCATCGTGCCGCGGTGGCTGCGGTCTCTGCATTGGCCGCTGCAGATGCACCGGCTGCTGTGGCCCCATGCCAGATGCCAATTGTCGGCCATATCTGGAGAAGCTGCAGCCCGTATCGAAATATCGCTGGTTCCGACATTGCACCACAGCCGGTTGCAAAAAATGTCAAAGGGATGATGATGATGATGATGGCGATGATGATAATGGTCTCGATTGCGATTGCATTTGCCGCCGGAATCGTCACATTATCGAGGCGCTCAGCTGCCTATTCTCGTGCTCGATCCAATATATGGTATCGATATTGTTTAAATTGGCCTATCTGCAACAGCAGCCGCTCAAGCGATTTCCCCGCGATCGTGTCTGGGATGTAATGGAGCACGTTAAGGCGCCATACACAGAGCTAAACGATCTGGACATATATGACAGCATGTACGACCGCTGTGGACTGCCCATTGATCCGCTCGATACTGACAATATGCTAAAGATTGTACGGCTCATGTTCCTAACATCGGTGCTGACAATTGACCAGGAAGACTATTTGCTGAACATGTTGCAGCGCCTGAATGCCAAGGCCAACTGTCCGGTTCATCTTGATCTCTTGCTCCAGACGCTCGAGGGCGTCGATCTGAAGAAGCTGGTGTGCAGCATGCGCGACCAGGAGGCGCTCACGCGCGGCTTGTACACATCCCGCCTGTGCAATAGCATTTGCAAGCTGTACCGCAAAGTGGCCACAGTTGATAAGCATTTGGTTCGCCACAATAGGAACAGGCGCCGCAATAATTATAATAATAAGCCAGCCGCCAGCAGCGAGCATGCCGAGGAGGTGCCACCAACGCGTCAATCTGTATTGAATCGCCAGTTTTGCGATCGGAAGCCCCCAGCCCAAAATGAGGCGAACACCTCACCGAAGAACTCCACCAATAAAACGATGTCCAATCGTTTCAGTAATCCAGCCACAAGGGGCATGCGCTATTCTGGTACCACCAACAGCAGGCGTTACTACAGTAGCAGCATGACCAAATAGGGCATGACCAATTCTGGCACAGATCGGTAACATTACGGACACGACGTGACTGGGCCGAGTGGTGGTCGGGGCCTACTGAGGGTGAGGGTTGCATTGAAAGCAGCCAACAATGCACTTTTCTAATTTTGTTGTCGTTTGGCATCGAAAACACACACTTAAATTACATTAAATTACGCATGTCTATATATCTGTATGCCTTGGCCCACAATATGAGTGTTAACTAACATAGGCACTGTTGCGGGTATGTTATGCTCATGTGACTATTAACTAACATTGACGATGTTGCGGTTATATTATGGTTATGTGAGTGTTAACTAACATAGGCGCTGTTGGGGTTATGTTATGATTATGTGAGTGTTAACTAACATAGGCGCTGTTGCGGTTCTATTATGGTTATGTTAGTGTTAATTAACATAGATATGTGAATGAAACGGTTAACATTAAACGAGCTCTGCCAGGCACCAGCTTTGAATAACTCGGCAAAAAGGGGAATACAAATTGAAAATTACAACAAAAAACTGGCCTAGCACTGGAGTTATGTGTCTTCTAGTTCAGTGACAATTGTAAGACAACACAGATTATTTTCAGAGCATACTGTTCTCCAGGATCAGTTAACAGAAACCACTTGGAAACTGGCCAGCAAAAGTAGGCAACGATTTAACCACCAGGCTCATCTTGTTCAGCAATGAAAAGCTAACGAGAGACTAATTAATCACCCAGTGAGCGGCCAGTCACAACTTTTTTTAAAGCAATCATTTGCAAAGAATCTACAAATGGTGCTTTATCTAGGTAGTTTGAGCAGGCAATGTAATATTTATCCGAGACTCAGTCTTCTCCGTGTTGGCTTTTTACGAAAACAACCTTAACTGGACTGATTCAGATTTAATCCACGTCTCATTCTCGTTCAGGGTTACAAGAAATGAGAAAACCGTAAGGAAGCTGTGCTCGGCAGGTGAACACACGTTATATCTAGGGCTCACTGTTCTGTTCATTGTCAGCTTTAATACAGCTCCGACTGCAAAAAAGGTCTCAGAATGCAGATACGATTTGGTGGATAAAGTGACTGAGCTTTGTTCAACTAACGAGGGTCAGTAATCATACAGTCCAGTTGTAAAATTCAAAATTTTCAAAAATGTCATTGAAGGTGACGGCAATGAAATCAAGAGAATTCCAAAAATGTCAGGAAACTGCAAGCGACAAGCATTCCGCGAGCCATTCGCGTTGCTGAGGCCAATTGCAGACCACGCGCCGAACTGCATCGAGCAGATGGAGAGCCCAACCCGTATTGTTGCCGGTCGCCAGCGGTTAGACAAGTTTCTTTCGGTCGAGCAAATGCAACGAATCGCCTGCAGTCGGGCATCAAAACAAACGCCACCAGTTCCGGCCGGATGTTTGGACTGCGAATGCGACTGTACGGTGACAAAATATATCTGGGCGCCAGCGAAACATCCAATACCCACAACACTGCTCATACGCTACATGAAGCGGGAAATGGAGCAAGGCGGCGCCATAAACAAACTGTACGGCATCAATTTCTATAACAGCTCCCAGCCGCAGAGCGGATGCGTCCAGCCGGATGCGGAAGCGGTGCTCATCCAGCTGCGTACGCTACTGTCGCCGCACGGCCCGGCGACGGCGGCAGAGCAACAGCAATTGATGGAGCATGTGGAGCAGCTGTTGTTGCTGCCGCCGGAGCGGCTGACGCTGATGCTGGAGCAGTGCTTTCTGTGCGGAATGCTGAGCGCCGCACAGCTGCGCCGACTGCAGCAGCTGCTGCCCATGCACAACGCGCTGATGAGATTCTTCAGGCGCTTGGTATCGGAGCTGCCGCATTTCCATTACGATATGTCGCTGGCGGAGCATGTGGAGCTGCTGCAGCTGTATCTGATGCTGCGCGACACGAATGCCGGGCCGCAGGCACGCCGCCTGCTAGCGGCAACCATGGAGCACATGTGCCGGCTGCAGCAGCCGCAGCTAATGCAGTTCCTCGATCAACTGAATCCTGCACAGCTGCAACGACTGCGCCAGCACCTGAAACACAGCTATATCCGCATATCCGGCCGTCAGCTGCAGCAATTGCTGCACACAACGGTGCATGTGCTGAGATTAAAGCATGGCCTCAAGCTGCATCACTGCGACAAGGAGCTGCTGTTCGAGATGGTCAGCATGCCGGCGGAGGAGCCGCTGACCATGCAACAGCGACAGTTTCTGCAATCGCTGCTCGATCATTTGCTGCCCATGATCAAGGCGGAGCAATTGCTCTGGCTGCAGGGTCTGAATCTGAACAATACACGATTGCGCCGCTTTCGTCTAATGCTCCACAATCCGGCCCTGCTCTGTGATCTGCAGCAGATGAAGCAGCTCTATGGGCATCTGCAGCAGCTCTGACAATAGGTGGCACCTGTGCTTAGCCAGAAATTGACGGGATCATTGAAAGCTTGGGTCGATTAGTTAGACTTGAATAACGATTAGTGACACAGCATGTTCCCGGCTCCTTTAGGTTTTGTATTACCGTAGGGCTTAATGGACCTTCTGCATCTCCGGATGAATTCCGCATTATCTTAGGCATACCTCCCATTATGCCGCTAGGTTTTCACGTAACTTTGATAGAGTCGAGAGACTTGTATAACTACATAAGGTGTCAGTTAACTGATTAGGAATTCAGCATCTACCTAAGGATAATTTGACATATTTGTAGCTCTTTTGATTTTGATTCGAGCGGTCTTGTAAAATGATGAAATGAATTTCCTGCTCCGGTTCATCTTCATTCTTCATTCATCTTCAACTCGAAAGTCAACTTAAGGAACGTCAACATTCTACTACTTTCTTTATGAAATTGTCAGTACAGATAGTTGGCATACTTAAATATACGCGTACAAATCAATACCATATCAATGTTGATTTTTATTCAACTGGATGGGGTATCTAGCTATAAATATTGTTGGTGTCTCTCAGCTTAAAAGTGAAACCTGGCACAGTTGAACCTATGCCGGCCGGATCGGAAGCTGCCATAGAATAATTGGTTGAATATGTAATTATTGTGTGGAGAAACTTTGTTGTTTATCAAGCTATCAAGATATAAAGTTTTATCGGACTACTAGATCATATAGATATATGCAGGAAACTCAGAAAATGCTCGTCGAAACCGTAAGCCAAAAGTCGACAAGGGTATTGAGTCTTCGGCGTCTCATACTCTCCTGTACAGAGGCGAGTGAGAAGCAAGAGAAGTTCAATAATATCATATCTTTCTATTTTTTGTCATCGAAGTATACCTTGAATTTGGTTAGTAAGAGTTCGTTTTCAGTTACAAAAAATGAGAAACCGTCTCAAAAAAAAAAAAAAAAAAAAAAAAAAAACAGGAAACAAAAAATACTTAACAAGCTCCAGATATTCTTTAAGTCGGATCAAATTTGAAACAAAACAAAACACCAAAAAAAAAAAAAAACAAAAAGCCCAGACAAAAAAAAAACAACACTTTGGAAATTTATTAGTGGGCACAGTTAAAATTTCGTTTTTAAATTATTGCTACCAAGCGAATGTCTTTGGAAAGGTCGAAATTCTTTGCGGGGGCTCGGGGTGTCGAGACCAACGCATTCTACGGGTCCATGACGCTCGGCGCTGGCGAAGGTCACGGCTTTGTTGCCCATACAGCGGCGCGTGCCCGCTTTGGAGGCGTCCCAATGCGCCAACAACAACAGCTGCAACAGCTGCAGCTGCAGCAGCAGCAGCCGTCATCAACGGAGGCGGCAAAACCAAAAGTGGCGAAACGACGCGGCGCACAGCCTAAGGTGGCCAACACAATGCCATGCACTGTGGAGGAGTTCACTAGGCGGGCCCAAGCATTGGCCACGGGCAAAGCTGTCGGCGGCGGCGGCGGCGGCACAGCAGGCAAACCCGCAACGAGCGGTAACAGGCGCAACGTGCGGGGAGCAGGTGGCGCAGAAGCGGTGGCCAAAAAAGTGAATGCCGTAACGTCTATCAATCGGAATCGCGGCCAGACAGGTCACACGTCCACAGGTGGCAACGATACGGAGTGGAGCATGCCGGCCAAAACGGCGAACGGCAGCGGACGCAAGCCGGCGGCGCGTGGACGCCGCAGCGGCCGCGTGCGCAACGAGACGCCGCAGACGAAATGGCTGCTGCTGCCGCAGAGCAATTTTCGGCAATGCAGCGAATCCTCGTCGGAGGCCAATTCGCCAAGCAATGCCAGCCAGCAGCAGCTGCGCGTTAAGGCCTCCTGGCCAGCCATCGGCAGCCGGCCCAGCCTCAGGAGTCAGCAGCTTGTGGAGACGCCCACAAAATCCAATGTACAATCGCGCTTGTTCACAGTGCCCAGCCAGCGCCAAACGATGTCAGATGAGCCAAAGCAGGCGCAGCCAAGCGATCATGTGCGATCAATGCGACAGCAACAGCAGCAGCAGCAGCAGGCGTCAACGACTTTGCTGTTGCAGGCGGACGGCGTTAAACAGATGGCGTCCGTCGACAACAGTCGAAGGTCGGCGTCGTCCGTGAAGCCCAGTCCGAACAGCAACACGAATTGCAGCAACAATAGCTTTCAATCGACGCTTGGCTTGAGTGGCAGCAGCAGCAGCACCTGGTCGAACAGTGAGTCCTACGAAGCGCCCCTTGCACTCAAAGGCGACAATAAGACCATCAAAGTAACCTCAACCGTTATCAAAATAATGCCCAATGCGCCGCTGCGCATCATAACACCAGCACCAGCAGCAGCACCAGCAGCACCAGCAGCACCAGCAGTAGTAGCAACAGCAGCAACAATTGCTGCGCCCAGGCCATCAACGCTATCGTCAATTAACAAGCGTGTGCCGCCCAAGCAGCCACAGCAGCAGCAGCAGCAGCAGAAGCCTGCACAACAGCAACAGCTGCCGAAAGCAACAGCAACAGCAGCTTCGGCAGCAGCAGCAACTGCAACGGCAACAGGATCGTCCAAAATTGTGCGCGTGGATCAGCACAAGGTGCCAAAGACCATAGAGGATGGCATCGATATAAGCTATCAGTATTTTGTTTCCACGCCCGTTGCACGTGGCAAGAAGCCGTTGCCCATACGCTATCTATACAGGCCGATGGTGCGACGTTTGAATCAGGCGAGCACAACAACAAGGCATAGTCGTCGCAGCGGAGGCGGCGGCAGCAGCAGCAAAAGGGGGCTGTCGGAGGGCAAAACGGAGGAGGAAGAGCTGCTGGAGCAGCATGTTCAGCTGGATCAGGTTCAGGATGCAGTGGTCACATCGGCCGGCAGCAGCGATATTGAGTCATTTGATTCGAGCACAGAGCTAACTGAGCACAATCGCGATTTTGACCCGCCGCCAATTGTGGTGGATGCGAAATATTTGCCATTTGTAAAGCAGCTAAAGAATCATCCCTGGCCACAGGAGCAGCGCAGAAAGGATGCTGTGCAACAGCTGCAAATACTCAAACAGCAACAGTTGCAGCAAATGCAACAGCAACAGCAACAGTTGCAACTGCAACATCAAAAAGAAGAAGAGCAGCAACAGCAGCAGCAGACACAGGGAGACCAGGAGCAACAGCTGAAGAAGGCAAAACATTTGCAAATGTTGCAGCAGCAACAGCAATTAATACAACAGCAACGGCAGCTAATTGAGGAGCAACAGCAGCAATTGCTGGCACAGGAACAACAGCTCAGTCCACGCCCAGTGCTGATCGATTTTCAGCCAAATGTGACGCGTCTTAGCGCTGTTGGCGGTGCCAACATTTGCTATCATGCACCAATTCGCGTGTGCGCTGGTGCTGTCGAGCCAGCAACTGTTGCTGCTGCCGAGGCGACAGTGACAGCAACAGCAACAGCAGCAGCAGCAGCCACGCCCGAGATCGTTGGGGCGCCGATAATAGCTGCCATTACCTACGAGGATGTTGAGCTGAATGCCTGCGCTGCAAAGTCCGTAAGCTTTCAGATGGAAAGTGACAGCAACTGCAACAACAACAACAACTGCAACTGCAACTGCAACTGCAACAGCAAGAGCAACAGCAACAGCAACGACAACGACAATAGTTGCAGCCAGAGCGAGAGCCACAACAACAGCAACAATTGCAGTGTATGCGGCCTTACGGCCATGCCCCCAAAAACAGAAAGGAAGCGACGAAAATGCAAATCGCGTGGCAAGAAGAAGAGCCGCAACTAAGCGTTGCACCTCCCGAAATGGGGTGGCAGAAACGGGTTGCAGATAATATGCCACGGATATATATATATTTATATATATATATATATATTGATATTTTGGAAGCGTGCCCAATTCACAATTTATACAATTCAATTTCGATTATAATCCATTTAGTTATTTCCTTAATGTATTTATTTTCTTCATTTTTTTTTTTTAATTTCATTCGGTTTAAGCTGAAATTACAAATTAGCCCAAGTTCATTGATATATGGAATTATGATATTTAATGCGACTCGGGCCCAAGTTGTTGGCACTTTGATGACTTCATTTCGCCACGCAATCTACCATACATATACTTGGCTGTTCCCTACGGAACGGGCCAAAAGGTCAGGGTCAGCCTAAGGGCAAGGCCGCGCCAAACAAACCGAAAGCCCTGTGAGGGCTGTCCGTGCGGTGCGGAGCCGGGCCGGGTTCGCCTGGAGTGCTTTTTGGGCATGTTTTTCTTTCATTTTTATTATGACAGCCATCAAATAATGGATGCACAAGCATCCAGATTGTGCTTAACAAAGAGTGAATGCGGGCGGGTTCACATAATGTCCACATTATATATATTATAAATAATGCCATTGCAAATATATATTTAGCACTCATAATCGCGGCTAATGGCCATTTATATTTTATAATCATTTTTGTATATCATATATCCTTTTGGTTGATTTTCCTTTTCCATTTCCTTATGGATAGACGGAGAACTCTTTGAACCCATAAAGCATATGCATACATAAACCTTGTCAATATCCTGGCTGTAAGCTATTCGCTGGTTCGAACCAATGCGCTGGTTCGTTTTACCCTACACACAATTTTCACAATTTCACAATTTTCAATAACCACTTGAGAATTATAAGCAAAGGAAACAGGGCTGTTGTTGTATTTGTTGATCAAACATTTCCTGAATTTATGCAAATCCCAAGTTTTCAATCAAAACGAGATGGATTTTTCGAAAAGCGTGAAACACGTCTCAAATGAATATTTACTAATTTTCCCAAGTTTCCCAAGGTCAAGCAAAATTTGACAATTTGTTGATTAAGTGAAAACTGTTCTTTGTTAATATATTAAATCTGATCGAGAGCCGAAGCGGAACCCCATTAAAATGAACCAATTTGTTGGCACAATAAACAACAAATTTCACAAATAAATATTGACAAATAATTGGATGGACAAATAATATGTTGCATACACTTACATATAATTAAGTTTAATTAGAAGAATTAATTATAATTATATGAGCAGTACTGTGTGGGTATTAAACCGAAATGCCCGTGTTGGCTTATTTTAAAGGGAATTCTCTTGTATGTTAATCTGTTTTTTTTTCCCCAATTTCATATTCATTCGATATTTCCCCCAATTGGCCATAAATATCGATTTTGTTTATAGGCTTTTTAGGCATAAGTCGCACATAATAAGAGCTAGATACTTTGCGTATTTTACATTGTGAATACCTCTTCGATATTGAAAGAAAAATCTGCCTTTTAGAAATATTTGCTTAATATATCTAAGCTCCCAAATTTCACAAATATCGATCGATGAACAACGCAGTTATACAAGAAAACATTACTGATAGTGTTTGTTTGTGAGGAAAGAGAAAGGTTCGAATGTTTCTGACATCATCTCAAAGTAGGCTTGCTTCTACTAGACGGACACCCACCCACGTCTTGAGCACTCGGTTTTCAGTTCATTTTCGGCGAAAACTATTCAGAACTTCTCCTTCGCCCACACGCCACGCCCAAAGATTAGCAGATTGTCTGTGGCACACCCAATGTTTGAGTGAGGGAATCGGCGCTCCACTTTTTGCTCGACATTTCGTGCTGAGTGCTCATTCAGCCTTGACGCTCTGTCGTAACCCTGACCGAGGCTGGCTGGGCATATCGAAATGGACGCATTAGTTCCAATTACGAATGGGCATTGACCATTGCCCATGTCCGTGGCTAATGAATGGCGCTCGGCGTCAATATATATTGGGGCTGTTCCCGATTCGCTGGATACCGGGCCAAATAGTTCGCATTTAACATTAATAGCAATCAAAGGCAATTGTGCTAAATATTGATATCGGTTACTGGGTCGTTCAATGGGCTCTCAGCCTCGCCTTGCAATCATAATATATACAGATATATATCTATAAATATATATTTAAAAGGGGGGAGAGCAACAACCACAAATAATAATAGTAATAATAATAATAATAAAATGCAACAGCTATGTCTAATTAAGATTTATGATGAAAGTCAAGGCCGGTCAAGGTCCGAGCTGCGAGCTGCAAGGTGAGCCACGAGCATCTCACAAATTGCCCTCAGACTCATACTAGTTGTTAGTCAATAGAACTAAGCGCGCACACACACACACACACAGCATGCACACCGAAGCTGCAGTTAGTATACGAGTAAATTGTATTGTGCGCCGCACACTTCCGCGTACAATGGTTAGTTATATAAATATTATATTTGTATACCCTGTACCCATTGCAAGAGGCTACAATGGGTTAACTGGTACGTAAAAGGCAAGGTTTATATATATATCTAGATTCTATATATTCTCGATCAGCATCAACAGCCAAGTCCGTCTATATGAACGCCTCGATCTCGGCAACTGTTGGATGCAGTCTTTGAATTTCGTGCGTAACTGCTTCTATATCATTCTAATTATCGATAGCTTGCCGCGTTTCCCTGAAATCGATAGAAATCGATAGACATCGATATCGATATTGTGTTATAAAGCATATCTCAGAGACACTCAAAATCTAGCATGTAGGATCGCGTATAGCATATGAGGCCATATTTATGCCCCAAAGAGTTATTCAAGAGCATCTCCTTGCGACTGAGTCCTGTGCGTTTTGATGGACTTCTGCGCAGGGTATCTCCGAGTCGTTCACATGAAAGCACACTACCCCCTTGTTTTGTTTTATGTATATGAGTGGGCAGGCATTTGTTTTAGCTGCCAGGCACAGAGTGCAGCTAATCTAAACTGACACACACACACACACACACACACACACACACACACAAACAGGCATACACACGCACACTCAGAGAGAGTTACACCTACGCCCATGTCCATGGAAACGACAGACGTCAGAGCTCGCCTGTGTGTTGGGATTTGAGGGGGGTGCGGCGGTGAGCCTTTCTCTGTGCCACTTGGCGCTCAAAGGGCTTAGTTGATTATCATTGGAAGTGATTAGAGCGTGCGTCATTAAATGCATAAGTAGTATAACACATTCGTATCGATTTAAGTTGATTAAATTAGTATACAATATAACAGATTTAGTAAAAAAAAAAATAGAATAGACAAATTGTCTAAGTAGGACAGTAGACAATTTTGATTGAACATAATAACCATTTAAATAGGATAGTAGACAAGTTTAAGTCGCAAAATATAACAGTTTTATAACAAATGTTTACAATTTGAATAGGACCATTAACGAGTCTTATTTGAACAGTAAAGTACAGTATAACAGATTAAATTAGGCATAACCACTTAAGTAGAACAGTATAACAATTGATATGGCAAAATATCACTTTTTATAGGCAGTACAGCAATATAACAGTCCGGTTTAAGCGAGTCTAATAACAGAAGTGTAAGAGCTTTTTACTATTTTATGAGCTATATAACAGTCTGAATAGGACATTAGAAAAGTTTTAAAATGTCATTCTAACAGCTTTTAAATATGTTAACATTCTTTTGCAACATTCTTCATTTGAACATTTAACGGGTACAATAAGTATAACAATTGACACGCTTCTCGTAGAACAATTGCAGCGAAACAAATCACCTACTCAAGTGAAATGAAATAATTTGAATGCTGCCTGAGAACAGCTGGTGAATAGCTATTAAAAAAGTAACGCTCAAGTGTATGACAGTTGCCACATGTAACACAGCTGTTAGATGCTTCATTCGTTTTTTAGCGCCATGCTGTTACAAGTTGTTAGTGTATAACAACAATTGCCAGCTGTGGTATAACAGTTGCCATTATCAATCTTATAATAGCAGCTCTCTATCTCCCTCTCTCAGCTCAAGTTTGTGCTATAGTCACATGATCCCCCACTTGTATACCAATTGTATAACACATCTAAAGTGATGCCCCCCCTCCCCCTATCCCCTCCCTTCATCAGTACGCTCAACAAACGCCATCAAATGCACAGAATGTAATCATTTGAGGGCAACGCGAGCTTGGAAGAAGAGGGCTGGAGAGGATAGAGGGACCAAGTGATTCCATTCAAAGTGAGCTAAACAATTCTACACACAGTTTAATTAACACTCAACAGCAGCTGGGCCAAAGAGGGGGCGGGAGGTTAGCCGAACCAGTTTGAATGAACGCCAATTGACGATTGCAATGCGAATTCGATGAGGTTTATTGTTTCTTCTTTTCATTGTACAGGAATGTGGACTCTTCTTCTTGAGTGCGACAACAAACGAAATGAACGAACTAGAGAAACAGATCAAGTGCATTATGACCCAAAATCTAGATATTATAAGACGAAAACCTTCGAATGAAACTAAATGAAAAATTGCAACGTTGATGAAATTTAAACAATGCTGAGAAAGTGAATAATTGGGTTAGAAAACAAGTGCGATAAATTTGTGCTTTCATATGAAAATCGGTTCAGTTCACTGTTGACTAGTTCATTTGAAGGTCATTGATTTGAACTAGTTTCAGTCTCGTTCGTACTTGCACTCTCTCGCTCTCGCTCTCGGATTTCTTGTCTCAATTTACCAGCTGCCTGTTACGAAATCCTTGACCATGACATGCTGTTAGACCGAGTCAATGAATGGGTGAAACTGTGAATGTATGGATGAATGAGTGAATGGGTGAATGAATGAATGGGCGTGTGCGAAAGGCAGCCTCAATTGTGATTGGGAGGCCGCTGTGGTCAAGGCCACTTAAAGGACTTCAATGGCATTGGACCATGGCCAAGGGGCAAGTCATAAATATGTATATGTGTATTATTAAAAGCGCAAAATCAATTGGGTCGCATACTCTGAGTATATACAGTGGTCACACGCATTGAAAAACTGGCGTGAATAAACGAATCGACTTTTGCCCAAATCATATACAAAAGCATCTATAAGGTATTGGAAATTCGAACCGCAAGTGGGAGAAAACGCTGGTCTAAATTTGTATTAGCCTGCGTGGGGCTAAGCTCTCTGTGCGTCGGACTAGCAAGCGAGAGGTCGCCGGTTCAAATATGTGGCATATATGACATTGAATAGCTTACTCACTTGTTGGTTATTTCCAGGACATCGGATATCATTAGGCGATACTTGTTACGGAATTGCTGTCCCCGCTTTGTCTCCAGCAGATACTTGTTGCAGAAATCGGTTAGGGAGACGAAATAGATGAAACCCAGTGATGTGAGAAACAGACCACGCTGGAGCGTGATGCGATCGGTGGTATTCGGAATTTGCCACAAGCTGCCGCAGGCCAAGCTCATCGAGCCAATGGAGCACGCCAACGAAAAATAACAGCCGCAACGCAACGGCATCGGAGCCGATTTGCCGCCAGTTGCTTGCTCTGCTGCCTCTGCTGTATCTGGCTCTGGTGCATCCGATGTTTCCGTTGGTTCAGCTGGAGCTGCTGCATCCTTGCAGGCGCCATTGCTAACCAGCGGCTGGCACAGGCTGTTGCGTCGCTGGTGCATGGTTTTTCCTGCTGTGGCTGCTGTGGCTGCTGCTGCTGATGCTGCTGCTGCCTCTTTTCCTGTTCTGTTTGTCTAGTAGGGTGTGGAGGAGTTGTTAGTTGGGTTCACAACCTGTTGCCTGGACGGTGCTGTCTTGGCTGTTTTTGGGTTTATGTTTGTGTTCGGCCTTCAGATGTGGAAGAATTTCATTTTTGCAGCTGCATTTGAGACAAATAAAAAAACACGCTAGTCAGCAGTGTTCGACTAGCGGATACCCTATATATATATATATATATATATATATATATATATTTAAAAAGTTCGAGTTCCATTTATACATTTAAAGGAACTAGTTCCTTGCAAACCAATATCTTTAAATATGAACTAGTTCCATGGCAAGTGTCCATAAAATATGCTCGAATTAGTTCAATGTGAACCACTTTTGAGCCTTAATGAGCCCAGAAAGCAGTTTGGGACTCTCTCAGAAAAGTTAAGAGATTGAAGATGGATTTTGTATCAGAAAATAAACTATAAATTCGATTTAAGCTGTTCTTTTGCAGCTGCTTGGAATCACTTTTGCAGTATTTTCGAACTGGTTCACATGGAATAACGTATTCAATTCAATTCTTCTATGCCAGTGTTTTGTATATGTATATACTATGCAAATGTGAGACGACCCAGATAAATCTATATATATATATATGCATATATATGTGTAACGTGTAACTGTCTGGTCGCAGGCAATAAAGCGTTTTCTTATCTCGAACGAAGCGGAACTCAATCTGTATGCTCATTATCAACCAATTATCATTATCAGTTGCGACCCTCGCTTGTTGCTGCGGCGGCTGCTGTTGTTTCATATTTGATGTACACTTTAAAAATAATTTCGGACTTTGTCATTATTTAAAGCTGTAACACATTAGTGTCTGTGTCTCCGTGACTGCGTGTGTGTGTGTGTGAGTGTGTTTGCTTAATTCTCTTGAAGCGTTTACAATCTTATCTAGCATTTAAGTTTATTAGTTTATTGCCACTTGCGCCTTTTGTATTTATCATTTATCACATGCATGAACTTTTTATCGTACCCAAATGAAATGAAGAGCGCGCGCATACTGTCAACAAACTGTTAATGCGCACTGTTATGCTCTAGAGCTGTTAATTTACATAGACATTGTGTACATATGGGCTGCTCTCATACAAAGTACAAATTTCAAATGCTAATTGACATTCGCTTTTGTATGCAAATGCATGTGCGTTGTGCATGTGTGTGCGAGAGCGAGTGGGAGCGCATTGAAAACAAAAGTTGCACTCACACTCACACTCTCCTATATGCGCGCATGCATTGCAAGAATTGAGAAACATAAAGCATTAAAATGTAGGTCAAGCACGTTGCATTGCCTAAATAAACAATTAGTTCACACACACAAAGAAAACCGCAACAAATTGGATTGGGCGCCAATTGTTGGGCAATTTTGTTTAGCCAAGTTGCGCGCGCGCACAAATAAAAACAACAACAGCAACAATAACAAATACAAATAGAGACAGCTGATCGGCGCTGCTTTATGAGGCAATCAATATAGTTTTTAGCACTTATTTATAAGTTTTTGTGTCACTTTCATTTACACGACGAGAGACGCCCACACGCACACACCAACACACACACACAACAGAGATGACGCGCGCGCAGTCAGCATCAGCCCGTCACAGCTGCTGCAGACGCAGTTAACACGCATACGCAATGGGCAAAACATTCATTGATTATGCAATTCCAAGAATCGCATTGCCAAATTAGTTTAAATTGTGTATCGCATTATGCACTCGCATCCAAGCAACAGAAACACTCAATAAAAGTGATCTAATCTTGCGCACACTGTCATATACACACACACACACATACACACACACGCGCGCGTTTTGTATGATGTACTGCATTTGCCGGCAACGGCGTCAGCGGGCAAATCCACTTGCATTTCATGTTGTCATTACACAATTTCGAATCACACACACACTGTTCACATTGACAGTATTATTTAGATACGCCAAACATTACGACTCTTATTCGTACGTGTTATATATGATGAAAAAAAATAAAATAAATACACAAATTAATAGAAACGCAAACGGCAGCGACTTTTAAACTGACCCAGTTAGATTGAACAATAACAGCAGAGTGGCAGCTGTCAGCAATGTTAGGAGGCTGTTATGCTCGCCAGAGACCTGTAATCTCTTACATGCATAGCAACATCGATATATCGATGTTGGCGATATTTTATGGCTGAAACAACACACATCGCAGCCAACATACAAAACTTATTATTAATATTGTAAATATTGAACTGAAGCGATAGCGTTAGGTCTAATGTGACAATATTTTCGATAAAGGTCTATTATCAATATTAATTACATTCCAACTTTAGGAACCAGTGTAATAAATAATCGATAATATAATTAAAACAAAAAGTATATGAAAAAAAACAACTGCTTTTAGTTATGTTTACTAAAGGGCAAATTAAAATTAATAAATTCAATAATTTTGTAGTATTAAATACGGTAAATGAAATCACTCGATATTTAGTTTACGGACATATGGCTGTACTCTAGTCATATGTTTTTCGTTTTGGTATTTATCGCCGAGCATATTTTTAGGATTTTAAGTTAACAGGCGTAAATCCCAAAAATATATTACTTTGTGATATTTACAAACGTGGCTTAAATAATTTAGACACCAGAAAGAAATTTAGTCTTCCACTCAACGATAACAGAAATTGTATATATAAACGGTAAATTTGTTTTACATGTCACGTGAACAAAATAAATATAGAGTAAATTAACATTTAAAAAAAAGAACTGTTATGAAAAGTAACTATATTTCGTATTAAAAAAATACCATTGCAATCGGCGGATTTCAAACAAAGCAGTGAGACCAAACTGTACAAACATAAAAATGCAAATACAAGTGCAAGCCGTTTCTTTTGTTTGCCACTAATATTTTATTTTTCAGTGGCTGCGGACGTGTGCGTTTTGTCGTGCGGGTTGGACAAGAAAAATGGCGAAAACTGTCGGTCGTGCGTGCGCGCAAATCGCAATTTTATTAACTATATACGGATCAATACAATGTGTGAAATCAATATGTAAGTGAAACGAAACCACACTTGAATCTTCTCGAAACCAAATATTCAAATACGCTTGTACATATGTGTATGCACATATGACAGATCATCGTTAGGCAGCGATTATGATGATGATGATGACGATGTCGAAGAAGACAAAACGCAGATTGGTCGTTGAGTCAATGGGGGATGAGCCAGGGGGAGTCAGAGCGCGCTCTGCTGCCATTTGTTACTTTTTTTTTTGTATGGTGAAATTTTGCTGCCATGTTTTTTTCTTGTTTGTGTCTCTGTTGCTGTTAAAATGAATTTGTATTTTTATTGTAGTTGTTATTTCTGCTGCCTAGCAGTAAATGCGTTAATTGACAATAACAAAATATCAAGTGTACGTAGCACCGTAGGCGTGTGCATGTGTGTGTGCGTGTGTGTGTGCGTGCGTGTGTGTATGTGTGAGTGGCGCAGCCGAGTGTGAAAATAGGCAGCAGCATTACTAAGAAACGAATGTCCTGTCGCCTGCCTGTCTGTCCCTCTCGCTCTAGCTCTAATACACTGCCCACGTTCGCTTTATTTTTAACGTTTTTTTTTTTGTTTTGTGCTGTACTGTGTGCTACGCCTATTTGCTCCATGCTCCACTTAACGTGCAACTATTTCCGTAGCCCTAGCCCCACTGTCAACCCCTTCGCGCACTTGTAGAGCGACATCTCGTTGTTGCATATTACAATTGAAATTTGTGGCGCATTTTTATTAAGACGCAAAGGAAAGGCGACTGTCAGGCTTATTGTTTTTGTTTATGTTGTTGTTGTTGGCACTTCACGATGCGGTGGCGTCGCAATTGAAATTGAAATGGTTCAAAGAAACAAAACAGGTGGCAACCTTGCCAGCAGCTGCTGCTGCTGGCCCAAAATGCCGTTAGCCGCCGTTTTATTTCTGCATTTGTACATTATCTGCTCTTTCTTCTCTCTACCACTCTCTTGAGCATAAGTCAGTGTTGTGTAATTAGCCAATAATGCAATATGCTATTTCAGCTACCTAAGCACATACGTATGTATATGTTATTATGTACATACATATGTATGTAAAAACTGGCCCCGGTCAGACGGCGTTGCCAGCGTTTATTGTTGACGCAGTTCATTTACTTGTTTCAGCTTAATGCACACGCACTGCCTGATATGAACATATACATATATACATATTTGTTGATACAGTTGCGATTGGGCATTTCTTTGTCTGGCAGCCAACTTTTACCACCCACTTATCAATTTCATGCAGTCGCTATATTTTTAACTTTGAGCCCGTGTGTGCAAATACTCAGTTTTGAATTTGTTGCTGCTGTTGTTTTTGACATTTGCTAGAAATCAATGAAGCTCGACTGCCAGTAGCAGCAGCAGCAGCAGCCGCTGGTCAGTGTGCAGTCACAGTTAATCGATCACTCATTCCAACTTAATTCCCATTGGACTGGGCCGATGTCCACGGGGACTGTCACCGACTGGCACAGCAAAGAGCAAGAGCGCTGCTGCTGCTGTTGTTGTTGTTGTTGTTGTTGTTTTCATGTTTTTCGCTGTGGCGATAAACAGTTAGTTTTTGCAGTAGCAAACAGTAGCTTGAATGAGATTTGCGTGCTTATTAATAAATACATATAACGTACACTTATACACTTATACATATGCATATGCATATGAGTGCACACATGCATATGTATGTATGTATATGTGCATGGTCTGCATTGCAGAGATCCGTAATCGATTGGCATATTGTTACTAGAGATGGACGCGTGACACGCGATCTATTGCAGATTCCTTTCGTACATATCTGTTATATTTGTGTTATATTATTATATACCATTTTATTTGAAGTTCCAGTTTTGGTTTTAGTTCTAAAAAAAAAACGCTATATTCCAGGCTTAAATCGACTCTATTGAAAACAGCTGTACAGCCTCGGTTGTGTTGTGTGTGTGTATATTATTGGACATTAACTCTTATACATTATTTTGTTAGTTACGTTTTTACAACATTCAACTGGTTAACAAATCACTCGTTCTTGCCCATTTCAAAAGGGATTTCACTGGCCATGAGTCAAAATGTTTTTGAACAATGTATTAAGTACGTGCTAAATCAGTTTAAAGAACATCGAGGGGACTTTGGTCCATCCATGCGCTTATGGTACCGTTACCTTTGTTCAGGCGCACCCATACACAGGTAGAATCGCCTTGCCTAGATAATGAAAGCACAAGGCTGCTCCAACAAAGAGCACTTACAATGTGCATTTACCGACTCGCATTTAATGTACTTTCGATCGATAAACAATCGAGAATGCGAGTGAGATAAAGCACGGACAGCTCGGCACCGTCCAATTGGGATTGCATGTGCTGCGGCCAATTCCAATTGGGGCGCTGACATGAATTCTATTCAAATATACGTATGTATGTACTATATTTGTAGAGACTTTCTTTCATATTCATCTCTTTGCATTTGTGCCACATCAACCCCCCTCCCCCCTCTCCACCCCTTGTCTGCTTACGGTTTACGTTGACCAAAATAGTCGCAGCCATTGTATGCATTGGCGCCCACACCAAACGGTACATAGTGCTGCGTTTGTCTTGAAGCTGCTTTATTGCAACACAGCCCCTCCCTCTCTGTCTCACACACACACACAAAATTGTGACAACAGGAAGCAGAGCCGACCGTGTTAGCACATCATCAACATCAAACGTGAGCATTGACAAAGCTCCCACCTGGCTTTTCTATATGCCGCTCGTTCACTTTCTTGCGTTTCGCCTCTCTCTCTCTCTCTCTCTCTCTCTCTCTCTCTCTCTCATTCTTGTTTCTCTAGATGCGCTGTTCGCGCTGCATTTTGGGCATTCTGGCAACTCTGTGCATTGCGCGATCCGTTTTCGGTTTTCGTTTTGTTTGCTTCTATTGATTTGGCCGATAAGCATGTCCGGCTAACGGCGCCAAAAGCCAAAAAAAACTTCAATACAATTTTCGTTACGGTTGTTGTCACTTTTGTTGCCGTTGTTTGTCAACAAGTATTCATCTATAGTTGAAAAGCTCGTCCGTCGCTAGATAAGAAGGCGAAAAGGAAGAAGACAAAGTAGACGTACTACGCAAAATGCCTGTCAAATAAATTACCAGCTACCTCTCAGACCACCTCACCATGATCGCTTTATCGTAAAAAACGAATAACAAGCTTGCAATTATGATAAACAAATAGGAACAAGAAACTCCATTTCGCAGACGCATTTCCTTGCCAAAGAAAAAATGAATAATATATGAAGAAACTGGGTCACACTCGCAATCGCATGTGGCTGTGCATGTGTGTATGAGTATGCCCCATAAGGTCGTTAGCACAGTAGTTAGCAGAAAGAATGAATAGCAACAATTGCTTTCATTTTCAAATCAAATGCTGAATAAATTGCGCCAATTATTTAAAATAGCAGCAACAAAAACAACAGCCATTAACATAACAATTAACACCGGGTTCAATTGAATCAAACGCCGCACAAATGCAAAGAAACGACCAGAGAAACTGGAAGGGCGCTTAAGCAGTGGGTGCGAAAGAGAGGGCAGGCAGCTGCAGGTGTATGACTCAGTGTGACCGCAGCCAATAATTATGCAAGGCAATGGGAAATAGACAAACACATCAATGACGTGCAACCCTGATTTATATGCATACATAAAAGTGAGTGTGTGTGTGTGTGTGTGTGTGTGCTCCTCTCTCTTGTGTCTCTAGGCATGCATATTATTTTTGCTTTACTTTTTGCCATAGCATCAAAAATAATCTGTAATTAGCTAAAAGTCAAAATGCAAAACAAGTGACGTTTGTAACGAGAAAGGGTTGAAAGCAACGGGTGGGTGGGGGTGAATGTGTTCGTGTGGTGCTGCCACCGTGTCGTAAACAATTGCCACGCGTGAGTTCTGCAGAAAACTCTTGGCTCCGTGGAAGGGGGAAGAGAATATCAACGTTTCATAACAAAAAATAACTGTACTTGGTAAATACATATGTTTTTTTAAGCGAAATGTGTAGCTCAGATTGCAGACTTGTCTCCGCCTGTGACCGTGTATGTGTGTGCGTGTGTGCAGCGCTCGCACCTTGCTCCACAGTATTTGCATGCATGCATAAACATTTTTGTATTTCAAATCTCTAATGTGATCGTAATTGTAATCGATATCGTACACATTCTGCCTAATGTCTCCTCGCGCACGAGTAAAGCACGCTGCTGACCACATGTTAGAATTGTATTTTACAGCGGCAGGCAAAAACAATAATAAACTACGATTAATGGCGCAGTGCCCTTTGGTATGCAGGCACAAGCAAACGTGCGTGTGTGTGTGTTATCTTATATTTACATATGTATATGTGTAATACTTACCTACATACTATGGCAATGCGATGCCTAAAGAATGTGCACGAGCAGAGCTGCAGGGGTGTGATTGGGGTAGGCGGGGTAATATCGTCTAAATGACTGAAAATATGTATGTATATGTAAGTAAAGTGAAAATAGAAAATCGATATTGTGCGAGCGGCGTCAAATAACAGTTAACAAAGCAATTACAATGCCAGCAAAAATAGGCGCAAAATGCGGTGACTGAGAGCGGCAAACCCAACCAAAAAAAACAACGGGGAGGAGGAAAGAAATTGCTCAATTTATGTAAATGCCATGTTACAAATAAAGACAAAAACAACATGCATTTATATTGGGAGTCATTGAGCTGTTATACTTTCAAGTCTCCCCTTTAACAGGGCACATAATGTAATTACAGCGGTGGCCATACAATTAGGTACACTACTATATGTTTGGTTTTTTCAATGTAAATAAAGCTTATCAATATGAATACCTGTGTTGTTGTTTTTTTTTTTTTTTTTGTAGCTTACAACAAATGAGATGAAACAAATGTAGCGTATACAATTATATGGCCGCCACTGTTATGCCTTTATATACACTACAAAAGATCGACAGTATACCAAAAAATATTAAATAATTTGACATCGCTGCCCATTTGAACTGTTGTTAAACGAGTTCTCGCACTCAAAGCAATAAAACCAAATATTTAACTTGACAAAACACCCACGGTACCAAAACAACAACAACAGCTGCGAGTTAAGGCATTTGTTTAAGCTTGTCTTGAACATCCATTAGCTATTCCAAAGTTCAGGCGAATTTGATAAGTCATACCCAAAACACAATAGGCCTGATTAACTATTTAACTATTTGTAATTTACGTTTTCTTATATTCTCTCTATACACAAATTGTTAGCATTTATCACATGGTCACACTATAAATATACATGCCTGCCATGGTCACACTCTGTTGCGTATTTTTCTCAGTAAATTATATTCAAAAATATCAAATTAAGTACATTTTATCAAGTTTTTTCAAAGCGAAAATAAGCTTAAACCAAGCGAAGAATCTCAGTTAAAAAAAAGAAAGAAGCAAAGAAAGAAGAGCTATCTTTACTGTTAATATATACACATATATATGGCAGATAAGCGGCATATTGATAAGGGTTTTCCTTGTTGTTTTTCAAATGAATTGAATAAGAGAGTTATTCATGAAAAATAGTCACCTTTTGACCGATTGCTCCCACGACAACTATGTAATAATCTAGTCCAATGTTGATGAGATTAGGATCATTCCAGGGAAAAGCGATGTCTAACTAGATCCAGACAATTTTTAGGCGTATGGGCTCTATTGACTCAGCTGCTGATGGCAATTACCCATTATATATATGTATGTATATTATGAGATCTGGGGATTTTTCTATAGTGTTTTAAGAATTTGCACTGAATTGAACCCCTTTGAAAGTGGTTTAAACCTGATCTGATCTGTTTATTTGCGAGTTATCGATAACTTGCCTCGATAACATGAAATCAATAAGTATCGATAAACGATCGATCTTACTAGAGCTAGCTAGATACTCCAAATTTTGTATATATTATTCTCTTGATTGGCAAATATAGATCGGAAATATCTCACTTCTTGGATACCCCTACCCGGTTCCATTAATTAAGGCAAAGCCTTGGGTTTTTTTTGTTTTTATCGAAAATCGATTCGATTTTTTCGCAAAAGACTTATCCATCGAACTGCATATGCATATATATATATATATATATATGTAAATAATCTAGAAATCTTTGACACTTCTGGAAATTTGTAGCAAGTGGCAAATGCACACAAAACGCAACTGATAGTGTTTAAAAATAATACACAGATTAAAACTATACTAGACATAGAAAAAAAGAGATATGCCAAGCTCGCAATGTGCAATAACCTCTAGAGAGTTCTTTTCAATTTGCGACTTACGTTTCGCATGCAGGCTTTTATCAAAGACAATGAGGCGAATTTCGAAGAAAGACAAATAAAATCACAATTCGTTTGCGACCATTAAACGATAAGAATGTGCATATATATTATATAGATATATGCATATAGTATATAGGTATATAATGTCAGCTTATTCAATTGTGTTGTGACGCCTTCTCATCTCTCGCTCTTCCTGCAGCTGCTGATGCATCCGATGATAGCAGCCTCGGCAGCCAACTCAGATACATCAATCCGGACGCAATTGTTAGCTTGTCGCCGGAGGAGCTGTTGCGTCTGCGTCAGCGTCGTGCCGCCCCAGCGTCAACGGCAGACTCGACGCCGGTTGTGGCCACCGTGCAGGATGCGAAGAATCAATATCAGCGCGTTAGCGCCAATGTGAATGCCAGCGCAAACGCTGCAGCGGCAGATGCCACTGTGACCACCACCTTGGACGGCAAGGGAACTGCCACGGGCGGCGTCTCCTACAATGTGCACAACGTGGGCGTCAATGGCACCGGCCAGCGCAAGGAGTTCAGCACCCAGCAGCAGAATGCCAGCGGCGATGCCAGCAACTACAGCAATGCCACCACCAGCATCAATGTGGCCGCAGCGCCCGCTGGTCCGCCAAAGAAGACCCAATTGATGGCCTCACAGCCATCGCAATATCCCAAAAAGGTGGCACACCAATCCGTCCAGTCGACACCACCAGCAGCAGCAGCAGCAGGAGCAGCAGCAGCAGCAGCAGCAGCAGCAGGTGCGGCAACAACAACAACCGAGCGAGCGCTCATCGATGATGTGGATGTGCCCGATGAGGTAATCACCAACGAGGCGACCAATGCCTCGCTGACCCGCACCGAGGATCACTTTGACTACTATCGCAGTCTGCTCTATGTGGACAAGGAGGAGACGTCCACATTCTGGACTGGATTCCGTGCGATACCCGAGAACAGTATATTGTCCTCGTCGCATCGACGGGCCATGACCGTTGAGCTCAAGTTTGACTTTCCATTTTATGGGCATAACGTGCGCAACATAACCGTCGCCACTGGCGGCTTCCTCTATACGGGCGAGTATGTGCACTCCTGGCTGGCGGCCACCCAATATATTGCGCCACTTATGGCCAATTTTGATACAAGCATGTCGGACGATTCGTTTGTGCGGCTACAGGATAATGGTTAGTCCACTTAACAATTTAGATGCCGGCTGTGTTTGTTAACCAAATCTCTGAAATTCTTTGCAGGCACCGCCTTCACCGTCGTCTGGGAGAATGTCACACTGCAGGATAAGCCCGAATATGGCAAGTTCACGTTTAGCGCGACGCTGCATCAGACTGGCAATATTGTGTTTGTCTACTATCAGCTGCCCACGCTGATCAATAACATACAGGACCATCAGCATCCGGTCAAGGTTGGCCTATCCGATGCCTATATCGTGGACAAGATGCTCTACTGTATGTAGCTCTAAACGTTCTATACATATATGTTGTGCCCTGTCTACCTTTTGCTTGTTTTTTTGATTAGTTGCGCACCGCAAGACCATCTACGAGTATCATCGCGTCACATTCACCCAGCAGGAGATCAGAAATAACACCATTATTGTGCTGACAGCCTTGCCCACCTGCCTCGGCTACAGTGACTGTCAGGCGTGCATTAATCACAATACCACATTTGAGGTGAGGCGGCCGCTAGGCCCGGAGTTGACCAACCGAAAAGCTAATCTATATACCCTTTATCCACACAGTGCATCTGGTGCCCCACACTGAATCGCTGCTCTACAAATAATGGCAACGATCGCAGAAAGCAGGATTGGCAGCAAAAGGGTAAATACTAATCCCAATATATATATACATGTATATATATATATAGGCCATGTCAGGGATACTCTTGCCGGCATTTGACATGGAAATGGTTGCATGCAGAAGCTTTATTGCCCATCGATGGAATGTAATGCTTCATGGGATAGAAATGTTGATAAAGGCATAAAAAGTTGCAATCTTCCGCAATTAACGTGTCTTATCCGATTGTTTCTTATTGTTATCGATATCAAATTTACCATTTCCGTTGCTTATAATTCTCAAGTGGTTAAAGCTTCAGTCTGCAGACCAGGCCCTGCTATCAAAATCGATATGCCCCCATTTGCTATTGAATTGTTTGTTTATTTACTTATTTGTTAGCTTTAGATAGCGAGTGTCTTCCCAATTATTCAATACATCAAGTTAGAGAAATTAAATGCTAGATATATAGACTGTTAAGTAGATAGGATAAAGGAAGATCACCGATCCGGTGGGTGAGAATTTATAGCCTGTCTGGCAAGCTATGTTAATCAACATTTATCGATAAATTGATATAAACTTATAGAATTACAAACAATTGATGTGTCCAGCATATGTTAGAATCTATGCTAAGTTATCGTTATCGTTATCGACATCGATTGGCTGGCTCAGTTCACAATTTGAAATCTCACGCCTTTTTTTTTGCATTTACAGGCTGCGATCGTTCGATGATTAACAACAGTGCCGCCTGCCCGGCGCTGGGTCAAAAGGGCAACAATGCTGCACAGGAGAACAGCAGCACCAACAACAACAACAACAACAGCAACAACAAAAGCAACAACAACAGCAACAACAGTAACAACGGCAGCCCTGGCATGGGCAGCAGCACGCCCGCTGCCAGCACAGCGGCCGCAGAGCCAACAGTGAGCAGCACGCAGTCGCCGGCTGGCGTTGAGTCGGCGTCGGGCGATGGCGTTAATGTCGAGAAGAGCGAGCATCTCGGCGCCGTGCTGCCGGAGAATAAGAGCGTGGGCGTTGCCTTTGGTTTTATGGTGCCCATTTGTCTGGTGTTTGCGGTGACACTGTGGCTCTTCTATGCGTACCGGTATCCGCATACACGGAGCGGACAGCTGCTCATACAGGTGAGTCTATCGATGAAAATAAGCTTTCGACTTAAATACTGAACTTAAATATGAATGTATATGTATATATATTTACATGCAGTCCAAGCATTTACATCAGGTTTGTTAACAGAACACAGTACACAGCACATAAACATTTGGCATCTGTCTCGCTTGCACACCACACACACACACACACACCGTTTTCTGTTGAGCTCTATTTAACGAATTCTCCCTCTCCCTCTGTCACAGTTCCGTCCCAGCCAATGGTCATGGCGACGCGGCGAGGCGCGCTACACGGCGGCCACAATACACATGTAGTGGAGTTGAGGAGTAATAAACGTATAAACGTGTACCTGTTACTTGTAAACAGCAAGTAACGAGTCACTGTCGTGACAGAATATCAGCGGTAACAGGTACCAAAACGCTGTTTCCCCAAACACCCTAGCCCATCCATCGCATCAAGTAATTGCAACTGTCAATGCCATCTCCATATGTGCTTACAGTCACAGCCACAGCAATATGTTAATGATAATTATTTCTAACGGTCACTGTTATCAACGTGACATCGCTCATATCTGACATGCAACGGCAACTGGCAGCGGCAGCGGCAGCAACAGCAAATGGCAGCAGTAGCAGCAGCAGCAACAACAGCAACATCAATTAACAGACTCGTGTGTAAATTCAATTATCTTAACAGTTAGAATAATGTTAAATCATCGCAGCATAAAAAGAACGAAAGCCAAGCAGAGCAGCAGCAGCAGCAGCAGCAACAGCAGCTGCTGCGAGTTGCAAAATTTGAATGCTGCTGATGTGTTTTGCAACACTGAAAGCTAACATATGCACCAGTTGGGACAGTTTGAGTGGCATTGCATGAAAATACTTTACCCTACACAAAACTAAAATTTCAAAAAAAAAAAAAAAAGACAACAAATACAAAAACAAGTGTACTTTGTGCTTCTCCTAGTTAGTCTTATTGTTTGTTTGTTTTTTTTTTTTTTTTTACCATATGATTTTGGTAACTATTTTTTGTTCAACTTTTATCGAGTTTACATAATCTGCTCTCTGCTTCGATAAATAGCAGTAATTAATTTGCTCAGGCCCTGCTCCCCTAATTCCCACCAGGCACACACATACACACACAAACACACAGGGCAACACATTTACTCACACACAGACCAGGGGCACAGTGCTTGCAATTTAGTAGTTCAATTGTAAAAACATATTTTCTGTTTGTTTTTTATTTTAAATATTATTATATATATTTTTTTTTTTCGAAATAAGTTGTACTTTTTATGCCTCTAATATTTTTGGAATTTCAATTGGCCACTCTCAAGTATGAAATTTGTATTCTATCCCCTTTTTATTGTATTATATGAGTACTTTATACGTATGAAGCACTTGAATCGATATATGTAGAAAGGCATATTTATCCAAGGCGACCTCTTCTTTTTGTTAGTATATTTTCTATTAATTAATATTATAAATATACAAATAAATAAATATAAAAATAAAAATAAAAAAAAAAAAACAATAAATGCGGTGTGCAAGTAATGGAATGCAAATGCTAAACTGAAAACATAAATAAGAAATAAGAGAAACAAGCAACTAAAGATCTGTAACAAAACGTAAGAAAGAAACAAAAACGCAACTAAGGAAATTGTATAACAATGTATTTTGATAATGAAATTAAATTTGTATTTTAAGCTCTTATTACATATACAAGATAATTTAAATAAAAACAAAGAAAAATATATATAAATGTAGAATGTTTATAATTTTTTGTGTTTCGGCGCTGGAAATTTAAAATACCCGCCATATTGTTTGACAATCACAGCCCAATTGCATTGGGGCTTGCAAATCAAACGGTATTTCCGCTTTACAGTGCATGGTTGCATTGTGTCTTGCTATAACATTGCCATATTGAGCTTAACAGTGCGAATTGGGCAGTTATAAATGAAAATGCTCTTGTTTAATTTCAGTTTTATTTTGGACTAATTTTGGTCATTAGTTTAAATGTATGCATTTTCTAATGTTGTAAATTGTTAAATACTTTTATATTTGTTGTTTACATTGGCTTACACATTTACAAGGTGGATTTGGGCTGTAAGAAAAACCGTTGGATTTCGTTTCAAGATGCGCCAGGGGTGCAGGGTGAGGGTTAGCTCCACATTAACATTTAACAGCGGCAACAACACAAGCCTCGGCAATTGGTGGATCTATATATGTATGTATGTATATATGTTTGTGTGTGTATGTATGTTTTTTTCGCTTCTTCTTGAGTGTCTTTCATCTTTTAGAGCTTCTGCTGCGCCAGTTCCTCGATAGTGCGCGCATTGGTGAGCGTCACCCACAACGGCGCCTGTATGCTGGCCAGCGAGTAGCTCTCGGCTGCGTCGAGCGACTGAGATTTGCGCAGGGCAGTGGCTGCTGAACTGGCGCTGCCGCTGCTGCTGCTGCTTCCTGCGGCATGGCGACGCTCCCGTTTGGAGCCGCGCTTGCCGACGCCAAACGCGAGCGCTGCTTCGCTGGCCGGGCTGCTGCTGCTGGCGGCGCGCAGCTCCTGCAGGCGACTGCGCCGTTTGGCCAGCGCCGCGGCATCGTGCGATTCGCGCAGGCTGCCCGCCTTGCGCAGCGGCGGCGTCAGCGTTGACGACGACGGCGCCGTCGACGGTGTGCGCGGCTGCAGCTGCTGCATGGCCAGCGCAGCTGTCTGCGGCTGCGCTGTCGACAAGGTCGACAATGTCGACAATGTCGTCGTCGTCGTCGTCGTCATCATCATCGTCTTCGGCTGCTGCTGTTGTGCTGCTAACTGTTAGCTCGAGGAGAAGGACATCTTGTAGGAGTTGGTGTCCATGGGCGATTCGGGATTGAGTATTTCGGTCTGCGTCTGCTCCACGTCGCTGCAGCGCTCCTCCAGCACCGTGTCCAGCTCCAGCGAGGTGAAGCCCTGGCTTAGGCTTCGTTCAGGACGTAGACTGATAGCTCGCGACGATCGGTAATCTAAAGCGGCAAAAACAATAACAAACGGAGAAAAAACAAAAACCAAAGAAATAAACAAACAAAAGCAATTCACATTAGCTACAAGTTGCGCAAATCGCCTCGGGCAAAGTGGAAAGGAAATGTAAATGTAAATGTGTGCGCGTGTGTGCGTTTGCGTGTGACCAAAGATAAATTGAAAACGTGCGACGTCGAGAGCGAGCTCAAATTTAATGTGAGTATCAAAACGTGCAGGTCACCAACCCCGCCCAACGCCCACCATCAGAAGGGACACGCGCCCGCTTGCCAGCTGACAGAAAGTGCGCACAGTGGAACCGATACGTATGTAAGTAATTTTCACTATTTAAGCTACGCCCGCTTTCTAATTTCATTAACAGCTTAAGCGTTGACAACAGCAGCTGCCGCTGTTAATTGCAGCTAAGTGCACTTTAAACTGAAGTGGGGCAATTTAAAATTCCCAGATTTCAAATTACCCAAATAGCGGATTTCCTAATTATGTTAATATACTGTCTTAACACTGTTAAGCTTAAGCTTCAGCTTACTGTTACATTAAACAGCTTGAGCGTTAACAACAGCTGCTGCCGCTGTCAGGTGCATTCGATTTCATTTAAAACTGAAGTGGGACAATATAAAAATCCCTGATTTTAAATTACCCAAGAGCTGATTTCCCTATTATATTAACACTTTAATGTTTAAGATGCAGCTTACTTTTATATTTAACAGCTTCAGCTTAGACAACAGGCAATATAATATTCCCAGATTTACAATTACCCAATAGTCGAATTCGGTCTTATATTAATATATGCTTAAGCTACTGCTTACAATGTTAATTAACAGCTTGAGCAGTGATAACAGTAGCTGTCAATGTCAATTGAATATCAGTGCATTTAAAACTGCAGCTCGGCAGCTAAATATAACAGATTTGAAATTACCCTAAAGCTGATTTCCTCGACATAAATTTCGTTAACACGTATGCTAGCTACACCTAATTGTTATAATTATCAGCCTAAATATTGATAACAGCAGAGACCGCAGTTAATTGCAGATCAGTGCTTTTCAAACTGCAGCTAAAAGCTGTGTGTCACACACACACACACACACACCACTGTGCACAGTCTGACTGTTACTGTGTTGATGGCTGCCCTTTTGCGGTGAAGTTTCTTGTGGGTTTCATGCGCTGCTTGCGGTGATGCGTAATTGTTTTCAAAATTTATGCAAAAACGAAAATTTGCAACCATCAAAACATGGTGTGGTTGGGGTCGTCGGGGGGTAGTGGGTGAAAACAAGTATAATTTGCGGTTTGTCAACGTTCCGTTATCGTGTCACCTACATCATCATCATCATCATCGTCATCAACAAAAACAACATCGTTATTATCATCATAACCACCATCATGTTGTTTGTGCACCGCTCAAAGCGGGGCAGCACCCGCATCCAGCGGCAAAGCAAACACTGAATATGAAATTTACAGTTATAACAAGTTTGAATGCACTCATCGAGTGAGCTCGACTTGAAGATGCCCTAACCGAGAGTCTGGCGACAGAAGTGAGGCTCAATTACATATTACCCCGATAATGAACCATAGCTAGTCTCAATCACTTAATCAATCAGTCCGTCAGTCAATTTATCAAGTTAGTAAGTCATTCAGCCCGTATGTGAATCAATTAGTCAATCAATCACTCAGTCAGTCGGTCAATCAATCAGTCAATTATTTATCCAGTCAATCACTCAACTGTTCAGCCACTCAGTCAGTCAGCCAATCAATCAGTCAGTCTATTAGTCAGTCTGTTTACTAGTCAATCATTCAACCACTCTGTCAGTCAGTCAAGCAATCAGCCAGTTTGTTAACCAGTCAATCATTCAACCACTCTGTCAGTTAGCCAAGCAATTAGTTTTTAAGTCAAACAGTCAGTAAATCGATCAGTCAGTCGGTTAACCAATCAATCAATCAACGACTCAATCAAGCCATCAGTCACTCGGTCAATCAATCAGTCGGACAACCAATAAGTCGGTTAGTTAGTCAATAAGTCAGACAGTCAGACAAACTATTTGTTCAGTCAGTTGGCTAGTTTGTCTATCAATCAATCAATCAGACAATTTGATGTACATAAACTAGCTTATACCCTTTATTGGGGATATTTATGTAAACAGGGCATATGCAAAAGTTGTTGCTGCCTGTCCGTGCGTCCGTGCATGCAGTGAAGACGCCTGGGATTGCTGATTAAGTGGGCGGGGGCAGGGGCGGGGGCTGGTGTGGATCGAGTGAAAAGACGAGTTTTCATTTTTGTTGTGCGCATGGAAATGAGGACAGGCGCCCAAAGGTATGCAATGGAAATGCAAATGCAGCCGGGCGTACGGCCGTTTGGCATACAGCAGCTGCTGCCTGTGCTTGACACATGCAAAACAGCATAAATATCTCCGAGTGTGTGTGCGAGTGTGTGTGTGCGGGTGTGTACGGGTGTGTGCCGACGCTCGCTTTCATTGAGCGCCGCAACAGTCGCAGCAAGCACTCAGCTTGAACTCTGACTTGGAGCCGCACGTGGCTCTCAATTCTTTTTTGGCCATGTTTTCATATTCTGTTAGCTTGGGCGCAGCTCGGGTATAATAGACTATAGACTGTAGGCGCTCGCAAGTGGGTCAAGTTTGCCCGCTTCCCCCTCTCCCTTTTCGCACAAGTTGCATAAAGTGTTTTTGTGCTTTATATACATTTGTTTTTGTTGTTTTGTTGTCATCTTTTTGACAGCCTTTCGCTGAGTTGTTTCATTTATTGATGACAACTTGTGCTGGAATGCGAGCAACACCCTTTGAATAGTCGCAAATGGATGGAGCAGTTCCTTTGCTGCAGCTGAATGGATTTTCATTAGGGTTTGCCTTGCTTTGGCGCCCACAGTTAGCTCCAGTTTGCTTTTCTATTCTATGCATTAACATGCCTAAATGTGACTGGTAAAGCTCCTGCTAAATTCATTTTCTCAATTTCCCATTTTCGTAGCTAAATTTGACATGTGAATCTTATTTCTTAAGTTTCCATTTCCAGAAATATGTGCCACTTTTAATTTTCCCATTTATATTTCTATATATTAATTCGACTTGTTAAGCTCCTGGTAAATTATTTTTCTCAATTCCATTTCGCATTTTCATATTTGTATTAAACTTGTAAAGCTTAAGTAAATCTTTCTTGACTGTCAAATTCCCGATCTAAACTCTCTATTTCTATATTTTAATTTGACTGGTAAAGCTCCTGCTAAGTTCTCTTTCCAAAATTTCCTATTTGTATATCAAAATTTGACTGGTAAAGCTCCTGGTAAATCCTCTTTCTACATTTTTTATTTTCATATCTTAGTTCAACTTGTGATGCTCCGCTTAAATCCCTTTGACTGGTAAATCATCATTGTATATTTGCCATTTCTATGTAGAAATTAGACTGATAAGGCTCATGGTAAATTATTTTTCTAGATTTTTGTTTTTACACTTTAAATTTTCCATTTCCATAATTAAATTGAACTTGTAAAGCGCCTGTTAAGGCATCTTTTTGAATTCTCCTGATAAAGCTCTTGATAAATAATTGTTCGCAATCTTTCATTTCCATTATTTATGAATTAATATTCTTGGTTTCGATTAATCCTGTACCGAAATTTATTTCTGGCATCTTAAAAGAACTTTCGTTATTTTTTTTTTCTTTTCTGTTTACTCTCGTGTTTTTGTCGCTGACTTTCAAAGTAAAGTTATTTTCTTCATAAATATTCAAAAATTGATTTTCAGTTTTTCTCTTTGCAAAGCGCCAAAAAGAGAGCCGGAATGGGCCGACAGGTGTGTGTGTGCGAGGCTCGCCCGCATTTTTGTTTAACAATTCGAAATGCAATTTATGCAAGAAAAACAAAGTAAATGGAAATTTTTCAGAATTGCGAAGGGCGGGGCGAACGGGTCTGGGGTCAAAGTGCAAAGATGCTGGCAAACAAAAAGGACTACGATATGACAGGCACACATTGAGATCAAGAAGGAGTTAGGAGGAAAGAGAGTATGTGTGAGAGAGAGAGAGAGAGAGAGAGAGAGAGAGAGAGAGGGAAAGGTGAAATTATGTAAAATAGCTAAATTCCATGCTACATGGAAAACATCGTGATCGGATAATGTGAATGTGAATCTATATAAAGTCGTGTCGCATATAGATATATATATATATATATATAAATTTATATTGAGAGAGTGGAGAATGAGAGAAGGTGAAGAGTGAAAGTTAAATGGAAAACTTCGTACACACATTACAACATTCAAACTCACTAAGCCTATGAATTGGACTAAATCTGACCAGGCTGACAGCATGGTCCTGCATATCATAGTTGCGTCGCCTGTCCCGCTCCCTGGCCAGCTTGGCGCGCCGTCTCAAGCAGCAGATGACAATCAGCGCCAGTATGGGAAATCCGAAGATGCACGAAACGATCGGAATGACAATCGATTCGGGTGAAACTGTAAGTACAAGATCAGAGATATCAATTAGTTATGTATACCCTGTAAATATTCAATGTCAAGAGAATCGCTTGCTTAGAGCTATAAGGTTTCGAGTGGAACTGTATGTCGAAAATGACAGATATGCACTATTTGTATACCCTGTAATTATCAAATGTGCACAGAATGGGTTACTAATTGAATATGTAAATAGAGAATGCCAGATATGCACTATTTATATACCCTGTAATTATCAAATGAGCAGAAAATGGGTTACTTATTGCTATAGGAATCAATTTAGTTTAATATGAAGATAGAAAATGCCAGATATGTACTATTTGTTTACCCTGTAATTATCAAATGAGCAGAAAATGGGCTACTAATTGAATATGTAAGTTAATAATGCCAGATATGCACTATTTGTATACCCTGTAATTATCAAATGTGCAGAGAATGGGTTACTTATTGCTATAGGAATCAAGTTAAATATTAAGGTAGAAAATGCCAGATATGAACTATTTGTATACCCTGTAATTATCAAATGTGCACAGAATGGGTTACTTATTGAATATGTAAATAGAGAATGCCAGATATGTACTATTTATATACCCTGTAATTATCACATGTGCACAGAACGGGTTACTTATTGCCATAGGAATCAATTTAGTTAAATATTTAGGTAGAAAATGCCAGATATGCGCTATTTGCATACCCTGTAATTATCAAGAGTGCAGAGAATGGCTTGCCAAGTGCTATGGGAATCAATTCGGTTGAATGTGTTAGTGGAAAATGCCACACATATGTTTAGTATTTGTATGTTTTTTTTCGATATCTGCTCAGAAAGTAGCTGAAATCTCTATTAAGAATTCCAAACATATTATTCCTAATCGATTTTCACGATGTAAACATGAAAGGAAAACCTTTATTGAAACAAATGAAATCCTTATTAAGTTTATTATGTTGATTGATTCGGCTTAGACGCCCCTCTCCACAAATCACGCTCTTCTTAATTTAAAAAAAAAAAAGAAGGAAAATGGAAAAGTTTTTCCTTATCTCTGACACACTCTGCCTTTGTGCATGTTTGACTGGGCTAGGCAAAAATGTTTGTGCGAGCGCCTAAAAGTAGACTTCATATGTTAATTTTGCTGCCTAATTGCTGCGGTCAAAGGTTAAATGCCAGCGATGTTCGCTTGCTGGACTAGTTCAAATATAAACTGCAAATTATTTATTCATGTGCTATCACACACGCACACACATGCACACACATGCACACACACGCTGGGCAGCTGTCGGAAGCGCTCTAAAGTAGGCAACAAAAAATTGATCGCCCTTTTTGCTCATAATTTGCGGCTCATCTGGGGTCGGGTTCATTTGGCCAGACGGTGCCCCGAAATGTAGGCAACACTTATTTACGCTGACAGGCGACTCGCCCAGCTAACTGGGCCAACAGCCTTTTGACCAAATTCCAAACGTTGCCAGCATTTGCATTTGCGGCCCGCTGGCTTTTTGTGTCCTTTTATTTCCGTCTTGTTTCTTTTAATTTAATTTTCATCCGGCCGCATTCAGGCCGCTTTCAACTCATTTTTATCTTAATGATTCAGTGGGTCGGTGGCTTTGGTGGTTCGCTGGTGTTTGCTCTCCACCTGCACCGCTGTCGATGCTATCGCGATTCTTGTTTCAATTTGTCTTTGCTTTATCTTGCCAAAAAAAAAAAAAAGAAGAAAAAGAATATATAACAAACCCGCAACAAAGGCCAACAATTTTTTGCGATCCGCTCAGGCAAACATTTTTATTAAGGTCCTTAGCCGATAAGCCATAAAAAACAATATATCTCTTGGCCATTGTCCATATGCGTTTGTCTGCCTCTTATATAAGTATGTATTTATATAAGTGTGCATTCACATATATACACACGTATATGTGTGTGTGTGTGTGTGTGTGTGTGTGTGTGTGTGTATTCGTGTATGTATGTATTTCGCGGCCATTCAAGTACAGCGATATGACTTTTTGTGTACACTGAGCGAAAGTTCGCAGTGAATTTTCGGAATTATTGGAACCAGGGCTGGGCACATTCGCATAGAAAAATGTTCGCTACGAATCGAACCAGCTTGCCGCCTTGAGATTCGGTTCGTGAACCTCTTTTTACGCTTCATTGAAACCAGCTTTTCGTTCAAACTTATTTAAAATTAAGTTTCTTATTTGTTTGATGTTTTTTATTTATTTTTTGTTTTATTTATTTGATTTGTTTAATTAATGCTATTTACTTTATTTATTAATTAAATGTATTTCTTTTTTTTTATTTAATATATATTTTTATTTATTTGATTTTGTTGTGAATATTTTGTTTATTTTATTTAGATATTATTAAGTTAAGGTGACTTTTAGTTCCAGTCTTGAACTGGTTCGGTTCCAAACAGTGTTGCATAACTGATTAATATTTAACTATTGAGTCTGCCAAAAATATTCAATTGGACTGTTAACTATCTGAATGATCAGATCTGAAAGAACATTTTGCTATAATTTGGAGCTTGGTTCGGTTAATGTTTTTAATCAATGTCTGGTTCTCAGGTTCGGTTCGTGAATTTGTTTTTGTTCTTAAGAACTATGAGCTCTAGATTTAAGTGCGAAGCTTTTGAAAAGAACTGTAACTTAACACTGCAAACATGCTTTAAGTTGGAAATTGAATTCGTTTTTGGAAAGCTTGTTAGCTCAAAAGGCAAAAAATGTAATTGTAGCGCCCGTTTCTCTCAGTGCATGTGCTCTGTTTGCAACGTGTTTGCCGCTGCGGATGCTGGCACGCCCACAATTCTAGCTAAAAATCATGCCAAGGCGTCGCAACCAATGCCCTTAATCTAAGCCACAGAAATCCCTGGCCCCGAAAATCTTGTTGCAAGCACACAAAGCATGATCGAGTGGTGCTGGAAGAGGGTGCGGGATAATGCGGGGTGCTGCTGGCTAAAACGGATTTAGTCAACGCTGCTGCTGCTGCTGCTGCTGCTGCACTGGCTCCAACTGTTGATGTCGCGCGCGCTCTCTGGTTGACATTATTGAATCCAATTAACGCCTTCAAAGTGACAGTTCAAATTTACACAAATTGATGGCTCTTGTCGATGGGGTGAGGGCCAGGGTGAGGGCGGGGGCAGGGGCGGGTTAGGGGTTATAGTAAATGGGGCAGCAGCAGCAACTTCTTCAGCAGCTCGGCAGCTGTCCTTTGACAAGAATTCCATGTTGTTGGGACTCTTTGGAGCCAGCCACCCCGCCAGCTGGCAGAGCGTCTGTAATTTCATGCTGAGTCATCGGGCGGCAGCGTTTGATGCTTGAAATATTCAATAAATACAATAAAAATGATGCGAACAAACTGGCCCGCCCCGCCATTCAATCGAAATCGAAATGTTTGTATATTTCAAGTCGACCGTGGAATGCGCTACAAAAGCCTCGACAACAACAACAACAACAACAAAAGCTGAGAATAGACAAACTGAGAATAAACGAAAAACAATAAAGAAGAAAAAGGCGAAAAAAGCGGACAGTAAAAGAAATACATATTTTCCGTATTAATCGCACAGTGACTTCTTGGGCTGGTTTTGGGCATAGAGATGAGCGCGTGTCGTGTCACGAACTAGCCTTAAGCGCCAGTGTTGTTAAAGGTTATACTACGAAAGCTTGAAGAATTCTTTTTTAAATAGGAAAAGTACAAATTTGTTGACAACTTCTTTGATGCTTTTTGTTAAATACGGTACATACAAATTAATAATGCAATTGTTTATTTTGCATTCATTAATGCGATATCTAACAATATTGCTAACGGCACACGCGCTCATCTCTATGACTCGGCAAACGTTAGAGATGGGCGGCATATTACTTTTTGCCATGGGCGTGGCATCACTGGGTTCAACTTGGGCAGAGCTCAAGTGCTAAAGTAGTTAGTTAAAGTAGTTGACGCTTTAAGTTGCGCCCCATGCAACCCAGGAATTTGGCTGCAAGTGGAACCACTTAGTCGTGCTTACCGTGCCGAGGACAGACTGTACTTGGCATGGTTAAGCATGACAGAGACGGAGTCAGTGACAGCTCAAGAGAGCAACTGCCGAGGCAGGCGAAAGTGCAATCTACTTAGCTGCGAGTGTTGGTAAGTGCTTAAAGTAAAGTCAATCAACTGTCAATGTGTTAATGGTCTAACTATGTATTTGGGATGAGTGTCTTTAAGAGTTCTCGTAGAAGAATATATTCTGATCGTTGTCCCAAAGTAGTTAACACAATGTTTAACATATGTGAACAGCGGCTGCAACTGATTTACATGGCTGCCAAGGCGTTTATCAACACTTGCAGCAGAAACTTTGCAGCACTTTTTCATAGAAGGAAATTTTCGCTTGATATAATTTTCTATAAAAATACATAATGATTGATACCATAAAGAAGCTTACACGATGTTGAACATAAGTGATAAGCGGCTGCAACTAGTTAACATATGTATTTGCCGAAGCGTTTGTCAACACTTGCAGCTGTAACTGAAACTTTGCAACACTTGCGGAAAGAAGGAAACTTTCCTTTGATTTATCATAAAGGCTTTGTTGTGCTTTAGAATAATTGAATGCAGCTTGTAGAAATTTGCGCACAAAACTTTTTAATCCCAAAAACGTGCCCGAAAAGTTTACTTATTAAACAAAAAGAATCTTCGGCCAGCTTTTGAGTACATAATCCAAAGCAATCGGATAGGAATCTAGCTGTTGGGTTAGCATCAATAAAATATGTATTCATAAATGTTGTATTTAAATGGGATTTAGCACAAGTTCAGCCCAAATTTGATAAGTAATTGGAGAGAAGCTAGTTGAGAGTTTCAGATATTCGAATTATTTATAGCCTGGCGTTCATACATACGGACAGGCAGACGAACAGGCATGTCAAGATCGACTCGGCTATTGATGCTGATCAAGAATATATATGTATATACCTAATGGGGTCGGAGATGCTTTCTGCTGCCTGTTACACAGATTTGCAGAACTCCCTTATAACCGTTTTGCACATATTCAATGGCTGCAGGCCATGAAAAACTTAAAATTCTGTTCTTAATTATGTTTTCCTTGAAGAATCTGTATGCGTGAAAACTATTTGGTGAGCATTCTGCTGTCGCTCTGGATTGTGGAATGCGAGGAACCAAGACGAGTCCGTTTTCTGCGTGCCAACTTGGCAATAAATAGTTGCAACACAAGCTGTGTAAACTATGCTGCAACAAGGCGAATTATTTGCAGCAGCTAGCTTGTGCCACATGTGCCACAAGCGCTCTAGACCGAGGCTAAACCATTTTATTGAATGAAATTTACGCACTTCTTATACCCTGAACCCATTCAAAATGGGTATAAGGGTATATTGTATTTGTGCAAAATGCAAATGTATGTAACAGGCAGAAGGAAGCTTCTCCGACCCCATCAAGTATATATATTCTTGATCAGCATCAATAGCCGAGTCGATCTAGCCATGTCCGTGCGTCCGTCCGTCCGTATGAGCTAGACACTTGAGATGTAGGTGCTCCTAGTTGCCGCGCAGATCGAGTTTGTTTCCGATAATCGATAACTTACTCCGTTTCCAAGCAATCGATAAAAATCGATATCGATATCCTGTTTTTTGGGCAATTTTGGTAAATAATAAGAGCTAGAGTCACCAAACTAAAATAGAATCTATATATGCATTTGATGTTGGAAGAAGAGGGTTCAGGGTATCCCCTAGTCGGGAGCTCCCGACTAGAACCTCTAACTTGTTTTTGTAGCTTCTCTTGCTTCTTCTGTTGTTGTTGCTGGGGAAATGGCCAAGTTGGTTGGCTTTGACGAGCTGCCCTCCTACCACCCCACCAACACCACCCTCTCGTTAGCTGTGTGGCAGACATGCCCTCCGCCCACGCACGAACACAATTCGAATACACTCAAAAAAAATGGTTTACCTTTTAAAGAATCCCCAAAAAAATTTGTATTTGCAAAAACTTGCTTTGAAAACTAGAGAAATTGTTGAATTTTGGATTCTTGATATTTTTTTTTATTAACTAGGCCAAAAATTTGTTTCAGTGTAGCCACGGAAGGGCCGCAGGGCTGCGAAAGCGCTGACAACGCTGCTAGCTTCTCGCCTCTCGCCTTGCGCCTCCCGATGCTGATGTGGGAAGAAGATAAGCCGCATGATTAGGATATGAGATATTAACGTCGAATGCGACGACGCTTGGATGTGTCCCCATAATGAGAACCAACTGAGTCAGCAGCCAGGCAGCCAGGCAGACGAAGGCTTTGACAGCTCCCGCAATTTGTGTGGCGGGAGTGAAAGTGAAAGCGAAAGCGAAAGTTTTCGTTTGGCCCCCAGAGCCAAGTTAAGAGCTGCTGCTTAAAACAATCAACGTTTCAAATCGCGTTAATAGTCGGCCAAACTCTGCAATTAATGCGACTTCAACTTGCCTAATTGCTGCATTAGGCCCAAGGGTCGTAAGGTCGCAAGCTCTCTCTTCCGCTCACTTTCACTCGCTTTCACTCCGGCTCTCCCATTCCCTCTCTCTCCCTCTCTCTCTCTCCATCGGTGCCACAATAAGTGCACAGATAATTGAGCAGCTTTTTAAGGGGCGTGCCTGACTGACAGCTACTCTGTTGCGGAACTACAGAACTACATTAAATACCCTGTAAACTAGCTGGCATGCAATTTGCGAAGCATTTTCTATCGCTTTGGCTTACTTTTTTCCTCGTTTTTTATTGTGTGCAAATATGACGAATGTACTTTTTGTGCATCGCCAATTTCTCGCCGGGTAAGTTAAAAAAGCGATGCCAATCAACTTTCTCTGTATCGCCAATTGCTCGTCTGGGAAGTTAAAAATGCGATATCAGAAAACTTCGGGGCGAAATATAAGCCCCATAGGGTATCATAGTCTCGCAGACTTAGACAGCTAATAATGGACATACAAGCCGATTGGATAAACAAAGTAAAGGATCTCAATCTATCTGGGAAACATACTAATGCTGCGCCACATCCCACCCCCTTTTCGGGCCTTTAATGCGCACAGGGTATATTAAAAAGAGGACAACACCTCTGAGCGTGCAACGAGAGGGTATCTATCTGAGCTATTCGAGGATAATGAACGAACGGATGGCATAATGCAAATTAGCCCCTAATTGGGCCTGGCACGCGACCCCGCCGCCGTCTGACCATCAGTCTCAGCGTCCGTCCGTCCGTCCGTCCGTCCGTCTGTCTAACGGACTGAGCTGATTTGATTATTGGCAGGCGGACAGGCGGACGGGCTGCGGGAGCGTTTCACCTATTCGCCCACAGACAGTGATGTGACGAGCGTGCTAATCAAGCGCAATCCGCATTAGCTGTCCCGATTATTGGGCTCAATCATCCGGCGTTGGCTTGGCCAAAAATAATGATTAACTGACAGCCAAAAGTTATTGGCCAAGTGCCTGACAAATAAACCATCGGTCTATTAAATGTGATGAATTAATATGTCAGTGCCTGGTGGGCATTGACAATACATTGACAATATATTCGTTTGAATAACGTTTATAGCTGGCTTTAACGGTGGCTTTTGTGCTTATGTTAAGTGCAATTTAAGAGCTCTGTTTAGTGATGTGATGAATTAATACGCCTCAGTGTTTAAGTGAAGCTTGCGCTCGACACATTCCCAATATATTCTGCTTTACTTAGTTTATGTGATTCTTTACAGTCTGTTATGTAGCTCTGTTATGTAGCTCTCATTCCACATATGTTAAGTGCAATTAAACAGCTCTATTAAAAACTCTGTAAATAGTTCGTATGCTTCAGAGTTTAAGTAGAGTTTCCCAACGGGGGGTATTACCTATACATTTCCCATATATTCTGCTTTACGTGCTTGAATAAAACTTAGGTTAGCTGTAAGAGTTCAGCTGCTTATGTTAACTGTAACTTAACAGCAATGTTATGTAGAGCTTAAGGGGTGAATGCGACTGGTGAGCATTAACTATAAATTCTCAATATATTCTGCTTTACTTTTCCGAAGCGTTTATGTTATCTTTAACAGGTCGCTTGCCTGACATGTTATGTGGCTGTTATTATACTTATGTTTACTGCAACATAACAGCAATGTTATGTGAAGTTTGATTACAGGTGGCAATAAACATTACATCTACCATATAACAATGCCTGATCTCATTTATCTGCTCTGCTATGTGTTCTCACGCGACTTACATTAACAGCAATGTTATTTATATAACATAGCAACGTACATACATTCTCTGTAAACTGCTCTAGCTTAAGTTCACTTTATTGACTTTCAAGTGACACTTGCAGGCTCTCTTAAGTGACTGTCAGTTACGCCATGTGCCTTCACTTTAACTCGCCGTTGAGTGGCTCTTATTTTGCATGCAAGATTTGGCATTGAAAAAGATTAAGGCATAAGGGTTTAACAGTTGTGTTCATAAATTTATGTACACAAGGTTGAAATTTTCCTACTGATAATACATACGCGGGAGATACCCTGTAAAAAATGACGGAAGAGAGGCCATAACTGCGGTGCTTATGGTCCGAATGGAAAGAACATTTGAGGTCTTATTAATGCTAACCAAAAGTTGAACTTGTTTATAATCTGTCCATAGATACTTATCGATTTTGGATGTGAATGTGAATGTGTATTACAGATGATGGCAATCCGAAATTTGAGTCGTGAGCTCTAGCAGAGAGAGTGAGAGAGTGTGTGTGTGTGAGAGAGAGAGAGAGAGAGAGACAGACCGTCGTCAGACGGTTGCATACCTTTGCGCAAAACCATAATACCCAATGGCAACAATTGGAGTACAGGGTATCAGAAGCAAAGTGCATTGTGTAACTGAATTTTGATTTGGATTTAGTGAAAATCCATTAACTCACCCGTTGGATAAATGTAAATGGTGGCGGCCCGATTCTTGTTGCCGGCCGCAATGAAGGTGGCCATCGTCTGGGCTGGAAACGTAACGGCCGGCCCAGTTGCCTCCGGCAGATTGGTGATGGCGCTGCTCAGCACCGTGCTGGCCGCCGTTGATGACGACTCAATGAAGCCGGGCGTCTCGCTAAATGCATTGTACATATTCGGTTCGCTGCCGTTAATGCTGGCATTGGCATTGGCATGCCCAGCGCCATCGCCATCGCCATCGCCATGTCCATTGTTGGGCGAATGCCTAATGCGCTGTCCGGCAGTCACATCGGCGCCAAGGCCGCCATGGAGCAAGAGGGTGGTCAATCTGGCGCTGTGCTGACCGCCCATTGTGGCCAGCGTGCGGTTTAGCAGCGCCTTCATGTTGCCCGTCGTTGCCTGCAGCAGCTTGGACGTTAGATTTGTGGTCGTCCTGGGATTTGGACTCTCCGCCTCGCCGTCAGCTGGAGTTGGAGCTGCCCGCCTGCTGGCCAGATTATTAATGATTGTTGCTGTTGTTGCGGTCATATTGTTTAATAATTTCGCAGCATAATCGTAAATTTCAATGAGCATTTGGTGGCGCGCCTCCTTCAACTGCCACGCCCACTGTCACTGCTACTGCTACAGCTGGTGCTGCTGCTCCAATTGCTGCGGTTTCAGCTGTCTGCAAGAGAAATGAGAGCGAATTTTGGGCGTTCTGCTAATTGCTTTAATGAATCATTCGGTTCAGTTCGCTTGGCCTCTGGGATTTCCCGTTGAGTGTTGGCAAACGTCTAATGATGCTTGCGGCGATTAAGGCTCGCTTACCCACACTGCGCTTACAGTTGACAGCTACTTTATTGTGTTGTCAAATAAAAGTTTTCTTCTGTTTCAGTTAAGCCACATGTCTAAGTTAATAATAATAACGACTTGTTTAATATTTGTGTGTCCTACTTTAGCCTGTTGTCAAATATTTGCTAGCTTCCACAATACCGTCAAAGTTGACAGCTACTTAATCCTGTTGTCAAATAGTTGTTTGATTGTTTCCCCATTTCACTTACAGTTAGGCTAGGCAATAACTACTTGTTAATAATTTGACAAGAGCTGTGCATTTGTTAATATACTTTCCCGCACACAATTGTCAAAGTTGACAACTACTTTATTAGTTTGTCAAAAATAAATTTTACACTCTATTATCTTCATTTCAGTTAGTACTTGTTTAATATTTAACTAAAGCTTAGCACTTGCTGTTGCTAACAACTTGCACACTGCTGTCAAAGTTGACAGCCAGTTTATTCTGTTGTTAAACAGAAGTTGTGTTCTTTATAATTTTCCTTTTCAGTTAGTTATACACTAAGTGCTTGTTAAATATATGCCTTGAGCTAACTACTTGTTGTCTCCTGAACTTACACACTAATGTCAAAGTTGGCAGCTACTTTATGTTCCTGTCAAATAGAAGTTTGGCTCTCTGCAATGTCCATTGTCAGTTAAGTCAAGCAATAACTACTTGTTAATTATTTCACCAGAGCTTAGCGTTTGTTGTGCTGTCAACTGGCAACTTATGTACGCCATAACATTTTCTCACGTCCTGTCCACTTGTCATTTAGCTGTTGTCAGCTAATACGAACGTTGACAGGAACATGGTTAAGCGTGCCTTAAGCATCAAATAAAAAGCTCTGTCCAGTTGCTACACCAACGGAATGTTGAGGCCAAAATTGACGAAATGAAACTATTGAAAAAATATATTGGACATTGTTGAGTATTAGGAGATAAACATAGGATATACAAATATGGTATATATGGGCTACAAGGAATGGATTGAAGGATGTAAAAGAGTTGCTGTTATACTTGTGTTTGGGCAATTGTTGATTTTCTGTAAGTACGAAATAAACTATGGCAATAACTTTCGAAACTTTGATCGGAGCATTCAGAAAGTACAGTTTCTTAAAGATGAACTATTGATTTAAATGCGATGATTGAGGCCTGTAGCTCACATATTTATATTTAATTAACTTTCTTTTACTGTTGACTCAATTACATTTTAAATGTGGTACCACACACACATTTCATAGCAATCACAGTTTGTGCCTGACAGAGCGCAGAGTTCGCATTATTCTCACCCAACCGAGCAATTCAAACTTTTGCACTTGCATTGCGCTTTACCGATTGAGTTCCTGTTCTTATAGTTTTTCAGTTATTTATCTATGTTTGTTGATAGCTTTGCAGCTACACAATGAAGCCGGAACATGAAATGCGATCAAAGCCCCCTCCACAAGCCGAGTTGAGAGCCCAATCAAGCGGGCAATCCAAGTAAGGCCCCCCATCACAGTCGACGCCCGTGGCAATAGGCACTTCAAGCTGAAGTTGATGCTGAAAGTGGAGGACACTTTGGCGACAACGGGGCCATAAAAATATGTTAACTAGTATTGTGTGTGTGTGTGTGTGTGTGTGTGTGCGTGTGTGCCGCGTCCTGGCCATGGCCAATGTCAGTTGGCAGCAACTAGCTTCATTACCAGCAAAACGAATTCAATTCAATCGAAATCGTAGCGAAACGCAACGAACGGAATGGAATGGAACGGAAAGGAGCGCAAAGGAACGGAAAGGGAAACGAAACGAAGGGTGAGCAAGGGTGAGGAAGGGAGAGGAAGGGGCGTTCAATCGAAATGGAAATCCAAACAATGTAAGAAAACTCATCCGAACACACTTCCTATTGGCAACACACACACACACACACACACACACACACACGCACAATTAAATGGCCAACACACAAAACATGGCTCTAATGGCGTCCGCCCACAAAATGGACAAGCACGAGCCAGCAGCCAAAAATAAAAAACCCCCGACTGAATAAAGCGGACACTCAACAGAAAAAACAAGTAAGAGGCTCTAGTCGGGAGCTCCCGACTAGGGGATACCCTGAACCCTCTTCTTCCAACATCGGATATATATTCTATTTTAAAAGCTATATGTCAAGTTTGGTGACTCTAGCTCTTATTATTTACCAAAATCCCCAAAAAAACGGGATATCGATATCGATTTTTATCGATTGCTTGGAACGGAGTAAGTTATCGATTATCGGAAACAAACTCGATCTGCGCGGACACGAGGAGATCCTACATTTCAAGTCTCTAGCTCTTATAGGTTCTGAGATCCTTGTGTTCATACATACGGACGGACGGACGGACGGACGGACGGACGGACGGACGGACGAACGGACATGGCTAGATCGACTCGGCTATTGATGCTGATCAAGAATATATATACTTGATGAGGTCGGAGATGCTTCCTTCTGGCTGTTACATACATTTGCATTTTGCACAAATACAATATACCCTTATACCCATTTTTAATGGGTTCAGGGTACAAAAAAGGAAAATTAAAAAATAATACGCTTAAAGTGTGCGCAAAAATCTTATTTTAAGCAGCTTTATTTTCTCATAGGCGCAAAATTTCAAGTACAAGTCGAATTGCACATTTGTTGAAAATGTTAATTTCTCTTTCTTATTTTAAGTTATTTGCTGCTTAATTTATGTTTTTTTTTTTTTTATTATTTTAAGATTTCTTATTTTAAGATTTCATCTCCTTTATCTCATCTCCAGTCGAACGTAAATTTTATGCTTTTACTTAAAATGTTTTGTGCCTTATTTTAAGTTGTTTTGTACTCATTTCAAGTTTTTTTTCTTGTTTTTATTCAATTCCAAGTACAAGACAGTCGCACATTTATTGAGAACGCAATTTGTTTTTTTTTTTCATTTTTTTTTTGTACTTAATTTAAGTGTTTTTTTTTTATTAATTTTATGTTTTGACATTTGACATTTATCTGCGCATATAAAAAAAATGTAAAAAAAAATTTTACTTAAAGTGAGCACAAAAATCTTATTTAAAGATTTTTTGTCTTAAGAACGAAAAATCGCAAGTATCGCAAGGATATAATCAGGGCATAAAAAGAGAAGTCGATTGGCACATTTATTAAGAATGTAAATTGCATTTATTTACTGTAAATGTTATTCGACTCTCTTTAAGTTATTTTGTACTCAATTCAAGTTTTTATTTTTTTTTGTATACTCCACGAAATTGAAATTTGATATAAAATATTTGTAGACTTATAAAAGTGTGGAAACGATTGCTGGCCACGCCCTCTGGGGGGCGTCGAGCCAAATATATTGCGGCCACGCCCACAGAGGCGCGAGTTTGAAAGTTTGAATTGCTTTGTAGTGACAGTTTGAGAGTCACGCTATCTGAATCTAAAGCAGGGTATTGCGCAGTCGGGCTTAAACGAAGTGCTTGCTGATTAAATATTTATAATATTTTAAATTAAAATTAAAAAATATGAAAGAGCAGAATGTGCTTGGAAATGTTTCAGAATTAAAACAACAACTTTCGCTGAGTTTAAGGCAATCGAGTGGGAGTGGCTGGAGGAGGAGGATGAGGGGGGGGGGGCTGTACGAACCGTGCTGCTCGCTGCTCTCGTGTCCGTCCGCTCAATGTGGCATGTTCACATGTGCCACATCATTTAGCACTTTTATTGTGGCAATTTCAAACACACACAAGAACAAAAATTACAAAAAATTACAAACAAACACACAAACACACAAATACGCACGCACACACACACACAGACACAATTTGCATATGCGGACTTAAGTGTCTTGTTGCGTACGCTGTTTGAACCGTTACGTTTTTGCTAACGGCTTTCACGTTTTACGTGTTTGGACGCGCGGGTTTTTTCGTTTTCGTTTTTGGTTTTTGCTTTCGTTTGCTTTTTGCTTTGGCAACTGTCGCGTCGCGTTCGCCGTCGCTTTGTGGGCCGCCGCTGCGCTGTCGCCGCGCTTTTATAGCCGGCTCCTGGCTTAAGGGAAATTTTAGAGAGCGCAAATTTCCCACACGCTGAGCGCTGAGCACACTGGAATTTCACATTTAAGGTACATTTGCTCTTTGCACTGGAATCGAGCGACGATTCATGCATGACTTTTCGAATGCATCAAAAAGAGTTGGGAACCTTAAGACCTACATACAAGACATAAACTATAAATAAATCAAGAACTTATTGCATCAATCGTGCTTTATGCCCGATATATTCATTATAGACTTCATAATTTGATTTTCTGTGTGTTTCGTAGTTAATTTATTTGAAGGCAATATAGTAGTATTCCCCTCATACTCCTTTTCCTTGTCTTCATCACCATTTATTGTCTATTATTATCAGAATACCTTCAACCTAACCTAACCTAACCTGTTAGTTGTGGTTCATTATATCCATTATTTGTCTGTACAAATCTCATCTTTGGCTTCAACTGTGATATAAAACACATTGCACATTTCTTTCTACTTCTCCATTAGGAAAATAAGTGATTTTTTGCTTTTTATACGGCCCGTACATTACATTGCGAACGGAAGTTTTTGCTTTTCCTTAACGATTCTTCAGACACAACATGAAATTACACTTCCTTCTGGATTGACGAAGTTTAAATACCCTAAATATAAATATAGATATAGATATAGATGTAGATATAGATATAGATATAGATATAGATATAGATATAGATATAGATATAGATATAGATATAGATATAGATATAGATATAGATATAGATATAGATATAGATATAGATAGATATAGATATAGATATAGATATAGATATAGATATAGATATAGATATAGATATAGATATAGATATAGATATAGATATAGATAGATATAGATATAGATATAGATATAGATATAGATATAGATATAGATATAGATATAGATATAGATATAGATATAGATATAGATATAGATATAGATATAGATATAGATATAGATATAGATATAGATATAGATATAGATATAGATATAGATATAGATATAGATATAGATATAGATATAGATATAGATATAGATATAGATATAGATATAGATATAGATATAGATATAGATATAGATATAGATATAGATATAGATATAGATATAGATATAGATATAGATATAGATATAGATATAGATATAGATAGATATAGATATAGATATAGATATAGATATAGATATAGATATAGATATAGATATAGATATAGATATAGATATAGATATAGATATAGATATAGATATAGATATAGATATAGATATAGATATAGATATAGATATAGATATAGATATAGATATAGATAGATATAGATAATCTAGATATCGATATTAGATATAGCTATAGATACTAGATTAGATATAGATATAGATATAGATATAGATATAGATATAGATATAGATATAGATATAGATATAAATATAGATATATAGGGTATATAGGGTATATGAGGTGCCGTGCTCTGAATGTTCGCAAATGTTATTCGCATTATTGGCGAGCTGTAAAAATATTTTGCTCTGATATTTGGGTTGATTAGGTCAAGGTTAGGCATGTTTTATTTCACACTCTCGCAAATCGCTTTGTTTTCGTTAAAAGCAAAATGAAAATACGTGCCCCTTGATGAATTCTCCTTTCGCTGCTTGATTGAATTCGTTTCTGTCAAATTCCTGCCAATATCCAGCTAAGCCCCCTCCCCACCTATGTGTATCTACCTGATGTGATTAAGACATTGCATCTAATGAGCTCGATGGTCAAGGTATGGCCAAGAGGCGGCGCAGGGAACGTCTGCACACTACAGCTGATGCGAACTTATTCGTTCTTCTTTCTGCTCAATATTTGCTTAGTTCTTAGATTTCACATTATAATTCATCAAACCAAAAAGGAAAAAAAGGGAACTGCATATTAAAACTCTTCAAAGAGTTTCCGACTCTCCAAATAAAGCCCAACTCTTGTATAGTTGATGTAATTACCCGGCGTTGCCCGTGCCAAATGAATAATGTTCAAAGTACACGCCGAATCAAATATCTTTAATTAATTGAACTTCATGCAGATAAAAAGTTGCTCGATTTGTGAGTTGGAATATATATAACTATATATATATGGCAAATTTGTGAAACATATAAGCATGGGGATTTATGTTAAGGATTTTCAGTTATTGCCAGCGACAGTTCGATTCGGCTCAGACTACAAAGTAAGATAGATTCATACACAGCTCAAAGCAAAATTTTTTTTATGAAATATCTGTTCCTTAACATTTGGCACGCATTAGCTTAGATAGACTATGCTGTATTTCAATTGATTCTGGTGAGTATTCCATGAAGTACGAATGCCAAATACTCTATTTATTTGGTTTAGTTGATATTGCTGAAAAGTGGAATTAGTTTTGGGCTTAAAGTTATGTTGTGTTGGGATCAGTTCGGGCTAAGGTCAGTTGTGGAGTAGGGTTAGTTTGTTTTGGGGTCAGTGAGGTGAGTTTAGTTGAGTTTCTTTCGAGGTGAGTTGCTGAAGGTTAGTTGTGAGTTTAAATGATAAGCTTAGGTTGGCTGATAAAAACTAGGGTATAAACTAGTCGGGCTTTGTGCCATTACGCTCAAGGCGATTAAAATATGACATTCAATGGCCGGTTGTGCCAGTGTGTGTGTGTGTGTGTGTATGGGTTAGCAAGGCAAAAATGGAAATTGAATTTCTGTTATGAATGCAATCAATTAAAATTTATAAATACAAACACAACTAAAAGCCAAATGCAAACAGAATACAGCCAAATAAAACATGTGAGCAGCCAGCTAGACGGCTAGTTCAATCAAGTGGGGGAGGGGGCGGGGCTGTTCCCAAGGGGGTAGGGTGAAGGAAATGAAATCTGAAACTGGAAATGATTTACAATTAAATTGCATTTGTTTATATGCCAGAGAGATAGCCCAATTTGGCCAGATGAAAGTTGTTTTAGGAAACGCCATTGTGTGTGCGGAGGTGTCAGCGTGGTGGAGGGGGGAAGGGGGGCGGTTGGCAATTGCATATTGGCTTGTTTGTTTAGATAAAATAAACATGGGCACAATTTTGTGAAATTTATTTGTGTTGCGCTTCAAAGCTGACACGGACACTCAGTCGAACAGGCTTTATGCATTTGAACTGTCCAGCTGGTTGGTTAAATATTGGCCAAAGGGTTGCCACACTGCCGAAATTTCTATTTTGAGGTTAGGTTCAATAATTGCAAACTAACCTCAAAGTGCAGCAAAGTTCATCCTATGCTATTTATCGATTCTTTTGACGTTTTTCTGTTTTTTTTTTTTCAGGTTTTAGCAACTTGGAAACGCCCAGCTTATAAATTCCCATTTGTTCTAAACTAATTTTTTTTCGCGCTCCGTAGAATAAAGTTTTAATATTATCGTAGGGTATCCATAGTGTCTAGTGTATGTGTAATATTGAAATTTTTTTTTTTTTTTTTTTTTTTATTTGTTTTTTATATTTTTGTATAAGCGCCACATTGAAGTGCAGAAATTTGTATACGTTTATGGTATAGAGTTGTAAGTGGAATTTGAAAAGTTCTTGAACATCTTTTGTGGACCTACACAAATCGACAAGTTGGGCCGTTTGCTATGAACAGAGCCTTTTATTCTAGCCATATCCAGGTATTATACTAGAATTCAATTGCCAGCTCAGGTAAGCAACAGCTGGTATTTCGGCTGCAATAGCTGCATAAGGTTTTCCATATGCTTGCCAGGATATGGCTCCACCGAGACGAAGGGCGATTAATGTGGTGGCCACACGCAACTCGAAGCAGTGGTCGCGCAACGAGATCATATCGTGGATAAATGAGACCTTGGACACGGATGTGGAGAAGATTGAGGACCTGTGCACGGGCGCTGCCTATTGCAATCTGATGGATATACTGTTTGCTGACCTGGTGAAAATGCGCAAAGTGAAGTTTGTGTGCAACCAGCCGACGGAATACATTGAGAACTTTCGGGTGCTCCAGCAGAGCTTTAACGAGGTGCATGTGAACACGCCCATCAACATTGAACAGCTGGTCAAGGGAAGATTCCAGGATAACTATGCGTTCGCGATATGGTTCAGGCTCTTCTACGAGTCCAACTTTCAACGAACACCCGATGGCTACGATCCACGAGCGGCACGCGCCAATATGCCCATTGCCATCGGCCAGGCCAGCCTATATCCAACGGCAGTCCGCGCCCGATCCGCGTCGCCGTGCACACATCACGAGCCCAGACAGCTGACGCGCAGCAAGACCATGGTATTGCATGGCTTCCAATCGCAGTCGAGTGCCTGCAGCGACAGTCTACCGTCTACACCGTCTACAAGATCTGACTCGGTGACATCAAAGGCGCAGCCGGTTACGGCGAGAGTACAGCCGGGCATATCAAGAGCGCGGCGAGGTTCATCCAGAGCTCATGCAGGCACATCGAGAGAACTGGCCGGTACATCAAAAGTGCAGCCTGCAGCCAGTACATCACGAGCTCTGGCGTCTACACAAAAAGTTCAGCCCGCTACATCACGTATACAGCCCGGTACATCACGTGTACAGCCCGGTACATCACGTGTACAGCCCGGTACATCACGTGTACAGCCCGGTACATCACGTGTACAGCCCGGTACATCACGTGTACAGCCCAGTACATCACGTGTACAGCCCAGTACATCACGTGTACAGCCCAGTACGTCACGTGTACAGCCCAGTACATCACGTGCGCAGCTCAGCTCTTCAACGGCGCAGTCGCAGTTGGATTCAAAAACTCAAGTGCTTGCGCCGCAAATCAAGAATTTGCCATATCTTATATTGCCCATACCCGATTCGCTGACGCCGCGTGGCAATCTGACATTTATAGTGGATCGGGCGCTCGAGCCGGCGGAGGAGAAAAAGGAGAAATCGGAGCCAAAAGAATCGACGACGACGTCAAAGTTCTTTCGCTGGTTCGAGATGTTCATGTCCAAAAAGAGTCAAGGCAACAATGGCAAGAGTTAGTATGAAGCTGCTGCACACAATCCTTAAACCCTCAACTACACTGCATTGGCAATAAAAAATAATATAAGACTTTAATTAAACAATTTCTTGCAAAGGAGCTCGCTTTGAAAGCGATTACTTTTTTGGCCTTTTTATCGTTACGCTATAAATTTATGGCACAACCTGCCAGGAACTAATCCATTATGGTTGCCTTATGGCAGCCGAGTCTTGAACCCGGCGAATTTGCGTATAGTAAGCGTTGGCTGTTGGCTGCGTTTTTTTAGAACACCTCCCGCTACCCTTAGCCAAGACACACACCCGGTATTTTTTGCAATTCGTAAGGGAAATTACTGTTAGAAAAGTCCTGATAATACTTAGCAAAGACACGCAGCCGCCATATTTGTAGCTTGGCCCGAGCATTTAGCAAAGACACACTCGACATGCATAAACTCTTATACAAAAAATACTTTCATTTGGGGATGTGTATTTAATTAACAACTAATGTTCAAAAATTACTTTAAAAGTAATTTCCATATATAAGAAGGGCTATTTCAGTGTTTAAGATTCCAGTGAATATGCCAGCGTATCATGTTCCAGTGTATTTTATTCCAGTGAATCGGAATCGGAGATTCAATGCCAGAGTAAACTCAGATACATAGCCGTCGTGAAGGCGTACCAAATGTGACAGATATTTCAAGGCCAAACTATCGGTGATTGTCAAAGTGACTGAAGCTCATATTTGGCCTTTGTAGGCCTGAAACTAATTTCCAAAGATCTTGCTGAAAATTCACCTTAGACATGTTTTACACTTTTCGCGAAACTCATCCAAGCTTGCTTTAACGAAATTTTCAAAACGAACGTATTTTGAAATATTGCTCTACTATGCGATTCTCATCGCATACAGCCTACAGGTGTTTATGCTTGTTTGCATGTATGTGTTTGTATGTCTGTCTGTATATATACATACATATGTAGCGTGTGTATGTATGTGTGTATATATGTGTTTGTATGTATGTGTCCATGTATGTATGTGTCTATCTCTGTATCCATGCATGTGTCTATCTATGTATGTATGTATGTGCTTTCTCCTTTACTGAACGCTCACAAAGTTTACTATCGGCTGCACAGCCATTAAAATAGCACGTATGAAAACATATTACCCTTCTATGCGATTCTCATGAATACAATTAAGACCATGTTTTGATTATTGCACTGTCTTCAACTACTCTCTTGCAGTCTAACGCTTTCTCACTTTGTGACCAAGTTCGAATCGTCAAAATACAAACAATTATATTTACACGTGTATTATATACATATGGATAGATAGGGGGATTATTTTGAAAGAGATGGACGACATCTATTTGCAGTTGTTTAGCAAACGCTTTGCATACTCGGATATGTGGAGCACGCCGTATTTGGGCGAGGCGATGTGTAGATTCTGGCCATTGCAATAGTCCGTATTGATGTGTGGGTTATGCAGCTCGGCGATCAGCGTGGAGCAGGCCGTCGACGAGTCGCCCGTGGACTTGAGCATTTTCTGCAAAGAGCCAAGGCAGTCACAAAGTTAATGTTAGTTAAATGGAAGGGCCATTGTGTGCTCTACTCACCATCCAGAACTCATTGCCTGGCAGGGCATTGCCGTCCCAGGCGTAGGAGACAACCAGCAGCATGTCGGCATGTTCCGGCTTGGTGAGCTTCTGTGCCGGATTCCGTTTCGACAGATGCACACGTATGCCGCCTTGTGGATGATGCGAGGACTTGATAACAGCGCCATTTTGTAGGCCACCGCAGCGCTCCAGCTTGAACCAGGAGAAGTGCACGACGCCAATGTGGGTCAGACGTGGGCTAAGTGCACGCAAGCGCTGCTCGAAGGTCTCGAGAAAGATTTGCTCCTGCTGCGGCGCCACCCGCCAGACGCCCAGGCCAAAGCCGACGACATGGACGTACGCTGGCTTGCCGGCCTTGGCGGCACGCGCCTCCGCCTCCAGCAGCAGCATGTCAAAGCTGATGGCATAGCGACGCTTCATGACCAGGTTGTCGAACACATCCTGTTTGTTGCCCGAGACGCCAAAGCGCTTGCCATCGATGCTCACCTCGTTGCGCAGATAATCGCGCGTCTCGTAGAAGCTGCGCCACAGGCGGCGATAGTCCTCGGCGCGCGTATGGGCCGGAGCAACCGGCGACTGGCCGTAGCCATGCTCCTTGGTGTTCTGCTGGCGCGCAATGACAATGTCCTGGAACTCCATTAGATTGCGGCGCGACAGACGCGCACCAATCAGTCCCACAATCACGCCCTCCGGCTCCAGGCTATGACGATTGTGTGTCACACGGCCGCAATTGGCGCGTTCGCCCTCATTGATGAACTCCGTGTGCGAGCTGACGGAGAGCAGCGCCGACAGCTTGACATCATCGTAGCTCAGCACATCCTCCAGCAGCAGCGGCGGCTGTTCCTGCAGCGTACCAATCGGCTCAAAGCCGCTGGCGCCGCGCTCGCCGCTCAGCAGCAGGAACTTATCGTTGCGCGCAAAGAAGCTGGCACAGCGCTTGCTCAGCAGACGCTGCACAAAGCTGGTCAGCGAGAGACGCCGATAGACGGGCTGCTCCACTTCGTTGCCTGGCAATATTTCCAATTAGCCAATGCCACATCGAGATCTGTGTCGTCCACTTACCCCACTGCCCCTTGTGCTCCAGATACTGTAGATACAGCGCCAAGGTGCGCTCATGCAGCAGCGGATAAACAGAAGCTATCTGCTGTGCAATGCATCCATGACGCGCCTTCGGCTGACTCCGAACACGGCAGCTCTCCACGCCAAACTGTTTGCGAATTCCAATTTTAGCAGTTTTCTTAATCAATACATGTCGTACGCACCTCGAGCGGAAACTCCATTGATTTGGCCATAAATGCGGCCACATCGACTGTCGCCTCGGGATCGGGCATCTTTAGGGATGTGCATTGCTCCAACAGGCGGCGACCGAAGGGGGTCAGTTCTGGCTGTGAGCTGGCATCGGCCGGTGGCCAAATTGCGTCCACTTCAGCTCCAAATGTTGACATCGTGTGAATCGTTCAATTTCACAATTATATTTAACAACAGGTTGTCTTGCGTGCGGCATTTTATAAGCAATGCATGCGCTGTAAACATAAGTTAAATGGAGTATATTGACTAGTGTGACCAGCTTTTCATAAACTAATAAGCCGCAATCAAATCAAAAACTATTGAACATATATACATGAAATCTTCTTCAATTTATATTTGATTATTAAGCTCAAAATCTCCAAATAGTTGCTATTTTATGCGTACATACTTTTAATAAGACTTAATTTTATATTATATTTGTACCAACCTGCCAGCCAGGGTATGCCAGAGTCGCATACCAGCTGGTGTTATACAGCACTTAATGCATGCACATGACGATTGCTTATTGGCCAGTCTGGTGAAATATGAATGGGCTGGCAAAAGCACTGTTAAGGTTAGAATGCAAGTTTCGCAAATCGCTTAAACTATTTTATTCTACTTTGTATTAGACTTGTTTCAAATCATATTCTTGTAAAAAGTTGACTTATCTCCTATATTGCATTATCGCTTTATTTCTGATTTATTTTCAACAGCTGTTCTGCCGGCTTTTACACACTGACAATTTTGCATATTTACCAACACCATTGCGCTTATTAACACTGGCTGAGCGGCTGCGGCGTATTTGTTTGTTTGTGCTGCAATGTTTTTTATATTGCCCGCTTTTTGTAGGTAATGCGCAAGTTATTTGAAAATTTAAGACACAAGCTTTACATAAGCAGCCGCAGCAAAATGACGCAGTTCTGGCCCAATCCGGGTGCTCAGTTGCCGAACCCAAGCGACTTTGCCCGACAACAGTTGGCAATGTGCAAGAAGCTGGATAAACCATTCACAAAGCCCGATGCTGTTGATTTGAATAAGTTTATGGCAGTTTCGGACAGTTTTCCCATTGAGGTAGGTCTCGCAATGCATCACAGTTTGCGGCTAACCAAAGATCTGATCGATCTGCAGTTTGGCACAAATAGCTCCCGGGTGAAGTCGCAGCCGTTGGAGCGCCGCCCGTTCATACGCCAGCAGATAGCGTCGGCCTATCCGATTATACACGAGCTGACACTGTTTCTCTACCTCAACTTTCTGGAGCACAAACAAAAGTTCGGTTAGAATACATTACTTTGGGTGTTCCCTTACAATTATTTTCATGTTGGTTTTCTTTGGACAGGCAACGCCCAAGAATTGAATGTTTATGGGAATCTTTCGCTGGTGGAATTTGTGCAGCGCTTGCTCAGTAAGCGTTGTGTCTATTTCTTCGGTGCGTCGGACTCGTTTATGCTGCTGGCCGGCAGCAGGGGAGCGGGTGGCTTCGAGCGGATCGGCACCAGCACAGAGTGTGCTCCACTTGTGCTTAAGAATGTGCTCAGCTATGATGAGATCAAGCTATCGGCTTTGCTCTATGTGTCCACGCACTCGGAATTCATTAATGACGGCTCGCGCTCAAATGCAGGCATAGTGGAACCGGACAAGTCCAAGATTGAGACCGACGGCGTCATCATGGGCATCATTGGCGCGCGCTTCGAGCGCAACAATGTCATGGAGTGCGAGGACATATTGATAACGCCAGAGCAAAATACTGCAGACCGCGGCTATGGCACCAATGGCAGCGACAATCGGGCGCTGGACTATCGTCGCATATGGCGCCAGTTCTATGAGGAGCCCAAGGACTACTGCTACACTGATCTCCAGGCGGATGGCAAGCGCTTCATAGAGCTGGACAGCAAGATGCTATTCGACAAGCTGCTTATGAGCAAGCGCTACGCCATCAGCTTTGATACGCTGCTGCTGGAGGCGGAAGCACGCGCCTCCGGGGCAGGCAAACCGGCGTACATACATGTCGTGGGCATTGGCCTGGGCGTATGGAAGGTGTCGCCGCACCAGGAGGAGATCTTCTTCGAGACCTTTGAGCAGCGTTTGCGTGCACTCAGTCCGCGTCTGACGCACATCGGCGTCGTACATTTCTCCTGGTTCCATCTCGACAAATGGGGCGGCATGTTTGATGGCGCCTGCATAACGGAGCCACAGCATCCGCAGGGCGGCATTAAGGTGCACATCTCCGTGCGCAAGCCGGCAGACAAGCTCACGGAGAACATGCTGCCCATTGTCACATACGCCTGGGATGGCAATGCCCTGCCGGGCAACGAGTACTGGGCGGTAAGCAGCTCGTCCCAACAGAGTTCTATTATTTAAATATTTATTTACTTTTAGAAAATGCTTGTTGGCACGGGCGATCCGGCAGCTGCGTGCTCCACGCTCATAGCCGAGCTCCAGAATCCGCACATTAACGCCGACTATATGAACGGCAACAATCTGCACATTGCATCCATGCAACACGGCGTCCTCCATGTTGCTGACTATGCAAAGACGGTGCTCGACTAGGACTTCCGCGACTTGGAAGAGATGCTCAAACAATTATTGTTAACCCCCTGCCCCAAGTAGAGGATGACTGCATTTGTTAATCTTATATACTTTAATATATATATATGCCTATCCATATTTTATACTCATCTTTGTCTGATTTGTGTAATTTACGCTTGAAGCGAACTAGTACGCATAGCTGTCTTTTGTTTAATTGCAAAATGCTTCTAAAACATATTGTTTAGTAAAATGATTATGTGATAGTAATTTTGTAATTTGCTAACAATGTTTCGAACAAGATCGAAAATTATTGCACAAAGCGCTAGAATTTCTAATTTTAGGTGGAAAACGTTTTGTGTATATGCAAAGTGAAAAAAGCAAAGTAAAATAACCTTATGCGAATTATTTAAATGTTTTGTTTTGCCAATTTACGTGCCATTAATATTCACGTAATTTTTTGCATTATGCATCTTTAATAGATTTATAGCAAGATTTTATATATAAATATATATGCATGTATAAATATATAGCCATATCTTGGGGGCGATTGTAAAATTGTCCAAAAATGTTAATTGCAAATTGATTTGGGCATATTATAGAAGCAGCTAGCTAGCCATGCTTGTACCCGAGTTCGGTAAGGGTAGGACATGGCAAATAACCAAGAAGACGCCACTTAAATGCCAAACACTTGTCTAAATAAACCTGCTTAAATCGTGCTAGGCAGTCTTTGTCCAAATTATGAATTGGGGAGGGAGGGGCAGAAGTGAAAAATGAATGTTTAGCTGTTGCTTAAATTTGTTACAAAAAAAGTATTTAATAAATCATTTAAAATTAGGCTGAGACACTGCAACACATTCGCTCTCTGTACACGCGCACGCACTGGACGCACAGGGATTACACAACGCGCTTGACCTCAAAGAAGCGTTTCAGGTAATACACCTGGCCGACGGTCATCAGAACCAGAACGAGCGCCTCAAATATCGACCACAGGACGACACGCGAGTTGGTGCTCTCGTTGACCGAACGATGAATCTTGTCGCGCACCTGCACAAGAGAGAGAGAGAGAGAGAGAGAGAGAGAATTAGTGGCATGTTGCAACTTGCAACTGGCAACAGCTGGCACTCACATGCATGTATTCCTGCTCGTGCTTGACGCTGGTGAGCGTGCCGGATAGCTCGCGTATCATGTCCTCGAGCTTGGTGTGGCCCACCTCCTCTTCACCGGGTGCGCCCGGTGCACGCTGCGGTGCATCGCCCATTTCAATGGAGAACATGACCAGCTTGGGTGTCATGCTGCTGCGCTCGTTATTAAAGCAGACGGTATAGACACCCTTGGCTGGCGCAACGAATGTGAACTTGCCCGAAGATTCCTTTTCGCTTTCGTGCATGACATGCTGATCGGGCCCGGTGATTTTGATGTCCACATCTAGAAAGCCGCCCTCAATCACCTCAAATGTCACGCCTGCAATTCGACACTGTTGTTATTGCTCGCAATAGGAGTATATTTTTGCTGGGGGTTTACTCACCGAATTTTGTGCCACCTTCGACATTCTCGAAGAAACATTCCTCGTTATGCGCATCCACGCTGACAATGAAGGCCTGGCCCGCAGTTGACAGCAGTATTAGGCCACATAATGTGAGCAGTAGCTTGGCAACTGTTGTTTGCATTGTGGTGTCACTGCTTTAAGCTGATTTTCTTACAGTTTTGCGTGGAAATTGTTATAAATTTTCCAAACAGCGGCAGCCACGTAGTTGTACTTGTGTCGATTGGCAATCCCGATAGTCGTGTGTGTTATCGAACTGGCAACTGGGCATTGTAGCCGTCGCCATAAAAATACTAGCATTCAATTTGGAATTTAAAACGGGCACACACAAGTCTAAAAGTGTACGCTAGCTTTCAAATAAGTGAACTTACTAAATAGCATAATCAAACGATATAATTGTTAAGACTATGCAAGTGACTTGTTCAGGTACACATTAAATATGCATAAATGCGTCATTAAGAGGTTATTTCAAAATTCATAGTGATATTAAGCCTATAAAGACCTTATTTTATACCTTTAAATAATACTGCTGTTTATTGAGCATAATTATATAGTTTAATATTAAGAGGGCGCATTCTGCACGTTAAATTGTATATGTTATTAGATATATATTTTTAAGGCAACTTAGCGCGCACTGTTATAACAGACCTTTAACAGCCGCATATCACTGTTAAGTATCAATAGTGCAGTAAAAATACTGAATGCTATCGATACTTGGCGCTTTTTTGGGCATTTTGTGCTATTGCAACATACAGCAGAGACAGCTTTATTTTGAACCTGCAAATTAACAGTTAGCTGTAAACCTTTAAGCCAGTCGGATGCTGTGCACGCAAAAGCGAAAAATTCAACGCGCTTAAAATAAATACAATAGACTTTGAATCACGTGCATATTGTCCTTATATGATTATTCAATTTTTTGTTGTTGTGCTTGTTCGAGTGCAGTGAACATACAATTTGTGAATTGATTATTGTTGTTTAGGTGTGACAAGTGTGCCAAGCAGCGTTGAGCGCATCAACCAAACGTATTTCCAAGCCAAACTACAAACAAAAACAACGCCTGGCCGATGCCATGGCTACTGATTTGGACGCCACGTGCAGACGGCGTCGCCGCCAGTTTCAGCGACAATAGTTGGTATTGCCGACAACAACAATATTATTAACAGCAAACAACAACAATAGTTGTTGAGCATAAAGCCCAAAAGCTGAAAGTGGCGCCGCAGCATCTTTAAGTGTTTTGGTCACACCATAAATCAAGTGACAGGCGGCCCCGCGAACGGCGCGCCTAAACAAAACTCATTTGCACACGTTGTCCTTAGTGCCGTGTCCCTTTGTCGCAGCAGCGGCAGCGCATAAATTTGCCAACAGTTGGCCGCGCCAACGCCATCGGAAGTGGGGGTAAGTCCTGAGATATTATACATATATATATATATGTATATAAATATATATTGCATACTTTTGTGCCACACTCAAGGCAATTGCTAGCAATGCGCTCGCCTCTTGCCCCACTGTGCGCATATTTAAAATTGTGCTGCTGCGAGAGTACCGTTATGTTGCCCAGCACGCATTTAATGAGCAGGCAAGCAGAGGGCGCAGCAAAGCACCGTTAGCGGACATCATTTGGCAAGTGCAGTTAATCGAGTGTCTGACCGCCATTTCCCGTTAGATTAGACTAGAAACAGGTAAAAACATACGATTTCGACTGCGCTTATTAATTAAAACGAATTCAAAATTGGGCCAAACGGTTAACGGTAATTAGCATTGTTGCTGCTTTTGGTTATTTCCTTTTGCTCCGGCTGCCCGCTGGCTTCTGGACTTAAAATGTAATGTTGCCTGCAAAACTGTGGCCAGAACAACAACAACAGCAGCTACAACAACTATACGCTGGCAACGCTAGCCCCCCACACCCCCTGTCCCTTCTTACCCCTCGCCTGCCGTCGCTCGCGTCTTGGCGTTTGCATTTTTGCCTGATTTATGCCAAAGGCAACAAAAAGCGCAAAATTATGATAAATCGCCACAAGTCGAAAATGTTAAGCAAAAAAGTAAAGCGCAAAAAAAAAATCGTTATATATATAAATTTGTAAGAAAAGCAAGTTAAGAAATTGCCATGTTTTATCCATAAATTTCGTGTACATATTTTGGCACGGTTATTCCCTTGTCGCAATTATAATAAACAAATTTGGTAACCAACATGAACATAAATTTAGAAAATATCGACTGCTGAAAGCTAAGCAATATGCTATATATTTGAACGGTCGTAAACTTGGTGCGGGGCATTACGATCTCGCGATGATAGGGTGGGAGAGAGCCTGAGAAAGAGAGAGGTATTGGGAGAGACGAGAAGGTTGTCCATTTTCTTTTGTGTGTGTATTAGGGAAGAGAGGGAAGAGAGAACGAGAGGAAGGACATATAGGGAGAAAAAGAGAAAGAGAGAGAGGGAGGCAGAGAGTGAGAGAGAGGGAGGCAGAGAGTGCGAGAGCGAGGCAGAGAAAGAGAGAGAGAGAGAGAGAAAGAGAAAGAGAGAGGGCAGAGATTGAGAGAGAGGGCAGAGATTGAGAGAGAGAGAAAGAGATAGAGAGAGAAGCAGAGAAAGAGAGAGAAAGAAAGAAAAAGATAGGGAGAATGAGAGAGAGAAAGTGAGTGAGAGAGAGAGAGGCAAATAGGGAGAGAGAGAGAAGCAGAGAAAGAGAGAGAGAGAACAGAGAAAGAGAGAGAAAGAAAAAAAAGAGAGTGAGAGAGAAAGGCAGAGAAATTTCCCGTTTCGTTTCTGTGTATATTTTGAAGAAAGGGAAATAGCCACAAGTGTGCTCAGCACAGAGCTTGATAAAGAAATGGAGAGAGACAAGAAGAGAAAGAGAGAGATGATGCGGGTTTCAAAGAACCCATGGGTTAAACAGCCCGACTGACTGCCAAAGCATGCATTTTGACAAGAGGATGTCAACGAAATGTCAAAATTGAGTGCCATCGTGTCAACGGCATTAGGATGTTAGAGTTTTCTGTTATCTATGTAAACATATTATTGGTTAGTAAGGTTTATTAGCTTACAATTGTTTCTCATCTTTGAAAAGGTGTGCGAAAACATTTAACAGCAGCTGTTCAATTCGACAGGAACTCGCAATATAGAGGGATTTCATGTAATCGTGGCAAATGTGCTCCTGATTTATTTATCATTTAGTTTAATTTGAAATGCAGTTTCAGTTTTGGGTGCGAGCTAAGCTACCGGCTTAATGCGGCCAGTTTCAAATTCGGCTGCCGAAAAGGACGGTGTGACATAAAGGAAATCATTTGGACGCATTTACATGCGCTCATTTGGGCCAAAAGTTGTCATTGGTTTGGCTCATTAATATGAAATGGTCAGTCAAAACTGCAGCAATTAAATATGCAAGCTGCGGTCACCTTAAAACCGAGCGAGAGAGGCACACAGAATAGGCAGAGGGGGCGAAGGGTAAGCGTGGCAGTGTGGGTGAAAGCGAGACGGACAGCTGTACCGCAAAGTCATGGAGCTGAAAGCGGCACCAACGCTTGACTGATTTAATGCATGTCAAAGTGTCAAAATGTGAAATGCACAAAGAAAATGGCCACGCCCCGAACATCGCCCCTCAACCCTATGCCGGGCCAGCCCCAAGTGGGGCGGGACCGCAATGACCAAATGGGTGACACACAGCCAAACAATTATAAATGATAAATGCCCGGCCCAGTGAAAACGAGAAACAAGCGGCGACTGACCGACTAGTAGATGCCCTGCATCCAGCAGAGCAAGCATATCTGCTATTTCTGCTTTCCCCAGCATCACATTCTCTCTCTCTCTCTCTCTAGCTCTGCGAGCTTGCGGATGTCTATATACATTTTTTCATAAGGATGTATACCTCTTAGGTCTCGTATATTCCAATTCCTTTAAGCGAGATATATAAATAAAAATCATGTTGAAAATCGATATTTATCGATTCGATCTACTGTGGTACATTGAGAAGTCATAATTCATAGAGTCTTGAATTTGAGTATATGTAGCTTACGTAATCCGCGCGATGCGCTAAGACAAACTAGGTTAAAAATCGATATTTATCGATAATAAGAAAGCGAAAAAAATAAGTCATCTGCAACTACTAAGGTTTATTTTTAATAATCCCCACACAAAGTGCCTGCAGCGATCGCAATTTGCCAGATATACAAAAGAAGTCATATCGAATATCGATATTTATCGATTCGATCTATTTGGGTATTATGAGAACTTATAGTTCTTAAAGTCTTCAAATTTTGTAAATGTAGCTTAAACAATCCTCGTCAAGCGATAAGAAAAACCTAAGCTGATAATCGATAACGATATCGATTTATCGATTATAAAAAGACCAGGCTAATTATTGGAGAAACTGAAAAGGTTGATGTGCTGTAGCTCTACTATCTCTGCAAACGCAAAGCCTGCTACAAACTCTTGCAAACCTGCAATATTTTTAATGAGTACAGGGTATTGAGAGTGAAGAGTGCTGTGGTTGGGGTCGACGGGAGGGGGACGGGTTGGGGCAATGCTACACAGTTGCTTAACATTTAAACACACATATATTTAAGTTAATTTGGCTCAGCTCGTTAATAAAACAACACCCCTCTGCCCCCTGCCCAGAACGCACGCACACACACTCGCACACACACACACACATACACACACAGGCAGAGGCACATCAACAGTTGCTCAAACTTTAAAATGTTGTTGTCCTTCTTCCGCTGAGGCTGACAAATGACAGGCGCTTGCATAATTTATGCATAATAAACCGAAGCGACGGTAAAATCAACTTATTAAAAATACGCAACTACTATAAATAACAAAAAGAGCTAGACAGAGATAGAGAGAGAGAGATGGACAGAGAGTGGGTGAGGGTGGGCGAGTGTGGGAGCGAGATGGCCAGCACAACTTTTATTGTTTTTTTTTTCCACCCATACAAGGGGCCGTGAAACTGAAGCGCGAGGTTTTCGTGCCGACCAACAATTTGGTGTCAAGTGGCAACAATAACAACAGCAACAGCAGCAACAACAGCAACAACAACAGCAACAGCAACAACAACAGCAACAGCAGCGACAACGATTACAGCTAACGGTAATAGCTGTACATGACAACCGACCGAAACTGTTGGCATAATATTAGCAACAACAACAACAACACCCAACAGCTTGTCAGAGTCAGCTGCTTGCGATGCGCTCAGGAAGAGTCTCACAGCTTGGCTAACACGTTTGCCACGACGTGG